AAAGTCATACATATAGTCAGAAGAGTCGACTCAATGAGAATGCAAATGAAAAACTTATATACAATATAGGCCGTTTATATAAGAACTTTCGTCTAAATTAGAGCGAATAGTTTCACAGTATTTTGGCGCCGAGTTTATGTAAGACATTAAATAGGGAGAATATATTCGTAAAATCTCAGCAAATGAATTTGAAGTCAATCCAACGTTTCGCCTGATAATCTTGTCCAAGCTTTTCAAGGACCACATTAGCAAACAAAACGTTGGATTGAGTTCAAATTCATTCTCTGAGATTTTACAAATATCCACTAATTTAAACTTAAACTTTGTGTACAGAAACAATATGTTCAGTCCCTAATTCTTTCATAGTACCTTAGGCTCTGTCTCTATCTTTCATAACAATGCTTTATTTTCATTATTTTCACTTTTTTTCCTGAGTTCGAATCCCATGAGGCGAGATCGTAGTTGCGCTCTACTGAGGAGTTCCATACCACAGCGAAACGGCCTTTCGATGCTTCTAGCTTTTCAATAGTGGCTTAACTTAGATAGACTAATGATTTTAATTGTGAAAATACTACATTCTCCACAAATTGCTATACTGATAGAAATCATATATATATTTGCTCATCGCTCTTGGCATAATTCCTACGAACGATAGCACTGTAATTTATAGATTTTTTCGATGGATAAAGAAAGTTGTGTATCAAACTGTTTCATCTTGAATGTCATAAAGATGTTTTGATTAGGTAATGTAAAGAATTAATATGCCACAAAGTAGATCACAATAATTATATTGTCAACCGTCATCATTTATTTGAACTTGGTCTCTTTACGTACATTACGTTTGAACACAACTTTCTTTCCGACTTCTCTATTATTTCAACATGTTATTGTTTACATTCTTTTGTTTGTTTGTTTTTTCTCCTCCCCCCCCTCTATTCTACCGTTATTTCAAATAAACAAGTTTGCCAAGATTGATGTTTGTTTTTTTAAAGATGAAAAGAATCCTCGGCATAATTACAATCCAATACAAAAAGTACCCGTTGCTTTTTTCTCTTCTTATCCTATTTACAAACGTTATATCTAATGTTGTTCTATAATAGTATGTTGTAGGTAAAGTTTAGATGATTTTAGTTTATATTTTAAGATTAAACACATTTGTGTAACATAGAGTGAGTGAATAGTTGACCTTCTAAATCCAATCTTTTAAAGTGTTATATTCAATACTATTGAACTTAGTTTTTGGATAACATAATCAAACTTGTCAGAAAAAAAAGATATAAGGTAATTCAAATAGTATTCTAGTGAACAAGAAGATCAGTGAGGACAATCGAATGTATCTCACTAAAATCTGATAACCATACACTAAATGGTTAATTTGCAAACTCAAAGCATGAGTCAATTGAAGTTAGACCACCATGGAAAACCTGGAAGCACTGGACGACCGTTTCATCCTATTATGGGACTCCTCAGCAATGCGCATCCAGGATCACGCACTCGCGAGATTCGAACCCAGGTCTTACCAGTCTCGCGTCATCCAGTGCTTCCAGGTTTTCCATGGCGGTCTAGCTTCAATCAGCTCATGCTTTCAATTATGAAAATACTGAAATCTCCACAAAACCCCTTCCGATAATAATTTGCAAACTATCAATCCATTGTCTCAATCTTGAACGTTCCTTCTGCAAATATTAGTCCATAGTTTCGGATTATTATTGTTCATGCATTTTCATACCAATTGTGTTTCGTTTCTGTTCTTTCTTTGTCGATTTTCTACTGAAACACATTCTCATATACTATCTATGTGAATATAAGCAACCTACACCACAGTATATCTGAACTATGTAAATTGTGCATATCTCCATGTATTCGATTTTAGCTTAGGTCTCTCTTAATTAGTTCTCTTTCAGACATGTTGTCAAAAGACAGAAAAGTTTTTGGATATATTCTTTTTTTCGCACAAAATTCATAATTAATCAGTAACTAATATTGTCTAATTTAATTGGTAAAAACACGAAACATCTTAGCCTTATTAAACATGGATTAATTCAATTTAGTTCTAAAAATAAAACCTTACTGTTTTTGATTGAGATGATGAACTGATTGATGTTAGAGTAACATAGAAAATTTTGAAGTGCTGGACAGAGGTTTTGTTCTATTGTAGGACTCCTCAGCTGTGCGCATCCACGATCCCGCTCGCGAGATCCAAACCCAGGGCCTCTGGTTTCGCGCGCGAACACTTAACCTTTAGACCACTGAGCCGGCATCTAATGGCGTTAATGTCTAACCTAGACCAACCCATGAAATATGGATTTAAAAGTTCAGATCAACCGAATAAGTTAACAAAATAAGATAGTTAGCAATGACAGTTAATTTATAGGTAACTAATTTCAATGTCCAATGTTTGGAAAATAGATCAAAACAGCCGTCTTGTGCTTCCAGGTCTTCAATGGTGGTCCAATATCAATTGGTTTATAATCTCAATCAAAAACATTATAATCTTCACAACCTCATACTTAAAATCTTACTGGTAAACTTGACCTCATTAGAGACTTATACTTAGATTAGTATTGTACCTTTACAGCTGTTGGTTAAATGGCAAATCTTTCGTCATTATTCTCTATAATATTCATCAATGTTTAATTTAGACAGTGATAAAAATAACCATTATTGGAGATATCGAAATTTACTTGAGAAAGAATGAAATACGTAGTGTTATATTCATTGTGATCATATTGAGCTGATCGGTTCATCTTCTGAGATGTTGATAAACTATTGTTTTAAACATAGATTCTAGTAAAGTGAGGATATATAAATATAGCTGATTATCTTCTGTTAATGTATAAAAGAAACCTGACATAGGTTCATTTTGTATTGTTTATTTGAATCTTCCCATTAATGTTTAGGATTGTAACTGGTCAGTTTCTTATTGGCATATGTGCATCACGTGCTAATTACTTCGATATTGCCTTAAATCACAAGTATTACAATCACAAGGTAGTAGAATTAAGGGCTCTGTAGCTAAGTGAATAACGTATACATTGAGGGCGAACCTACCGGGCTCGAGCCCTGGAGTGGACATCAACTCAGGGATGCAGGTATATCCGGCTGACGAGTCCCTTTTGCTAGCCATCATCCATCTTCACTTATAAAACCTCACATAATTATAATTGTAATGATAATAGTATGAGTTATTCCTAGTCGTTTGAAGAATGGTTTATATAAATTATACTTACAAAGAAAATTTCAACATATGGGTAATAACTACTTTAAAAATTGTAAGTCTTATTCGGTAGCTTGACATCATCAGCTGACTTCAGATCGACAGTGATTATAAAACAGATAATGCTGGAATTATGTTATATTTTAGTATTGATTTTCTTAGCACTAAAGATCCGTGATCCTTCAAGATTCCTTCAAAGGACCTCATGGTGAACAGTTAACCTACAAACAAATGAGTTGGTATCTAATAGTTTGAATTTTCAGTAGCAATAGATTTGAGGTATTGCGCCAAAAACATCCTTTGTTATTGGTTATATGTCTCAAACTCAAGAATTATGCTTTTCATCGGTCATGGTTTCTTATAAGAATTCAGAGAGTTATCCCTTAAATTCACTGATTATTAAGAACATGTTGACCGTTATAACAGTATTTATAACGACAAATGAATGTGAATCTACCTATCAAGGACTAATTTAAGTTAGGTAACCACTGAAAACCAGGAGGCATCGGAGAGCTATTTTATCCTAGTGTGAGGTAAAATACAACGGTTGTCTGTTAAATACTGTACATATAGAGCATTCGCCAAAAATCTGATAGTCCAGGTGACGTCTTAGATGTTCACCGTTGAGGCATCTTCTACTATGATGAAATAACTCTTCAACAATTCCAGGTTTTCGATGATTTGGAAAATTCAAAATTTAACAATCTCTACAGCTTATAGTATTGTTATATCCCGTGGAGAATTATGAATGGTAACTCTGAGAACTATTTATGGACCAATATGATATGTATATTTCCTATTGTATAATTGTTAAGTAACTTAACTATTTATATTTGTATCCCTCTAATTTATAAGCTTTATTTTGACCTGTAGACTATTATTATATGATTTACCATTCTAGAGTTATCCCCAGTCCATGGATTACTGTTCCCCCTACTAACAGCTACATTTGGTTAAATATTGTATAGATGTTATTTTCTATTTTATGGTACGGTTTGGTCTGTTTGTTTGATATATAAACTCAGTATGTTTGAAATTGATGATTCATATTGCAGAGGCTGTTATCGGTGTTCTGAACTTAATTGGTTGGTCTAGGCAGATAGCAAGACTGATAAGTGCTCAAGGCTGTTAGTACGGCTTTTGTGTATTATTGATCCGATCGATAAATCACTGCTCTCCAATTGGCGGCCACATCACGTCATATATAAACTGGGCACATACTCAATCAATATTACAAGTATCTATTCAGAATTATTCATTTGATATCAATCCAAACTTTCTTCACAAGTTTATATAGAATATGGCTAGCAGTGAAATCCGGAACGCGCGTTTCTTCTCACCTGGGATTTGTCAGTCATTTATACCTGAACCATAGAGTTTTCGTTTACTCTGGAACACCAATTGTAAGCGTATTTAAACTTGAAATTATCGTCATCAATTCATCTACAATGGTGTAACCAGGATGGTTTGCTTAGCTTTTTCAATATTAATGAATACCTCTATATTCATAACACTTTGCAATACACTAGCTAAGATTAGAAATTATTATTATTATTATCATTACTATTGTCATTTTCATTCAATATAAACCTGTCCTCAATAATACCCTATATATAAACAAACTAATCACTATGGTTACTATTCTTACGAACCACATGATCTGGTTATTAAAAAAAAAAAAACTGATCACCATTATATGATTGGTTATTCGTATTGTTTTCTTCTTAGCATATCAAAAAGGCAAATTATCAAATCTTGTTTTATTATTGTCAATATAACAATTAGAAGATGTAAGCAATCGATCTCTTTGATAATCAATCCAATTCATAACTAGATCTTTATTTCTTAAAAGTACAACTAGACTTCAGCAAATCCATTTCGAAAGGTAGCAGATCATAAAAAAATTTATGAGGAACTCATGAAACTATCCAATTCACAGGATCAATCTTATCAGAATAAAAAACGTCAATCATTATTTGAAATAAGTGAATTAGGTAAAACAATCAATCGTATCAATTCATTACCGATTAATATTCAAGTAAGTGGGATTATCATTAGAAATACATGTTAAGAGTGTAATATTTATTCAGTAAATTATTCATTCTTGAATAGTCTGTTGATTTGATTCTTGCTTATTATTTATCAGTTTACAGGGCAGATATCTGACTCTAATTTGGATGTACGAATGAATCAGTCAGTCACAACGTAGAACTTCGTACGTACATACATCAGTTCGAGTTGCCATACCACATTAGCACAGAGATGCAGTTGTCGATTCAAACTCCATAGTGGTAGAAGTAGTAACAGTATAAGCAGTAATCCAAAAGATTAGGGTTTGAAGATGTTATTCAAGAAGTATGATGTAGTTAAATAAATTTGAAAAGAGAAAAAGGATAGGGACATGAAGAATTTTAGAAGATTAGAATTTGGTAGAATACAAAGAGTGGGTGCACCTTGCCATTGCAAACGATATTGAGCCATGTCATTCAAGGTCTTTAACCATCGGTTTCTATCATCTCGCGGATCCCAACCAGGTTGTCTACATCTACCAGCATGACTCAGTCCACTTGTCAGTGAATTCATGGATTTATGCCACGTTTTGGTCTGACCACCCCTAGCTTTCTTCCAACCTACTCCTATACCATGAAACATTGCACGTCGGGGCAGTCGGTGGTTGGGCGTGCGTGTACGAATGAATATAAACATTCAGTTAAGTTCTATATACTAAAACTAGACTATCGTTATTTGAGCGATTGACGGTAGTAAGAAGTCAAATACTAATTGAACAGAAAGGATTTATTCATTCATTGGTTTAATCAGATAGACATTAAAGTAAGATGCGGGTAAACGAGAAGACAAACTTTTCAACTCATCTTGATTTTATATAGTTGAGATCATGGAAAACCTGGAAGCACTAGACGGCCGTTTCGTCCTATTGTGGGGCCCTTCAGCAGTGAGCATCCACGATCCCGCCTAGTGAAATTCGAACCCAAGGCCCACCAATCTCGCGTGCGAGCGCTTAACCACTAGACCACTGAGCCGGCATCCGACGATGTTAATGCCACTGCTGAAGAGTCCCACAATAGGACGAAACGGCCGTCCAGTGCTTCCATGGTGGTCTAGCTTCAATTGATTCATGATTTAAACTATAAAGTTACTGAAATCTCTACAAAACCCCTTCTGATAATCATCTTGATTTTGCCTGACACATTGTTCATAACCAATCTAAAGATGTATGATGAATAGAGTAAGCGGTGTACACATATACGCTCGAATAAAAGCAATCGAGGTTATCGGCGAGTAATAGACAAGGTCGAAATATGACTCAAGAAGTATACATTAATTAGTCTGTTCGGAAGCCAGAGTAGCTCATGTGGGCATGATATAGGACTAGACATAACAGTTCTATCTTTACTCAAAGTGATACATATCCATTATAAAATCCAGTATATTTTTGTATTAATTCAATGTGACCTATGCTTAGGAATATTCTTTGTTTTCATTAGTTCAGTGTAAAATCTATTTCGCACTTCCTTTATGTCAGATGTATATATGGTATTCGTTGACTAATCACTAAATCCCGATGAAATATATATATATATATATATATATATATATATATATATATATATGTTTAACAGATTATTGTAGTATCTTAAAGGGTGAATGAAATCTTCACCCCTTATCAGTTTCTATCTTTCTCCTTGTACCGTGAAAATCTCAGTTTTTCAGTACTTCAGATCCAGTTTTCACTGTTCAACAAGCTATTCATTCGTCATTTTATTGTTAGCAAATATAGTTCTATTTATATGTTTGGTGTTTATCATGAATATTGATTGAGATTGGAATTAGTATGACTGGCGAATCATTGAAAACTAGGGAATAGTAGGCAGTTGTGTCATTCTGTTTTAGAATTCAGATCTATAGGGAAATAACTAGTCAGTTCAAAACCTTGGATGGTTTCCATACTGAACCTAGTTCATGAAGCAACTGATTTGTTTATTTGACTAATTCCATTCTATCCCAAAATTTATTCACAGTATATACATAGCTCACCTTGGGATTACAAATTAAGAATACAGTAAATTTTTATTTCAATCTTTTTTTTAACAATTTGTTGAGATAAAGCTCTATGGTAGCTGGAATGAATGTGAACTCGAAGGAATGGTCTCAATACTACACCAAAAATGTCATGACATCTGAAAATCTTGGATTCGATTTTTGACTGTTCTTTGTTTGCATTGGCCCCAAGTCCTATGTTGGAATGAATTAGCTCTCCAGTGGTTATTGGTTTCAAATGCTTTGTGACTTAATTTCCATCCATGATTAGAACAGTCTACCATTTAAATAATGCTCTTCAGACAACCAAATAAGTGATTTTAAATTTGATTGAGAGATATTATAGATAGATTACTTGGTGCTAGAATAACCTGAAACACACTATATTCATTATCTGTATACTCTACTTCATTCCATACACCTGTGTTCACGAACTTTATCTATTTTCAGCCCATTTGTAATTAGTAACGTTTGGATAGATCTTGGATTTTTATTGAGTTGAATGCATTCAACACTGTTTATAGGTCGGAAGTATTCGAAACGAAATACTAAATCTACGATTTATGCTGTTTGACATTCGTCAGCTATGTGTACTTGGTACCTTAGAGGAATCAATGATCACTGTAAGATTTGAATTTGCATTACCAAGGTTTACAGTATGAAATGTTATCAGTGAGCTATTCAGAATATGTATAGGCTTCTTTGGGAGTAAGATATTTATAATTGATGGTTCAATGATTAATGGCCAGCATCAAATATGTCTTTAATAATATGGCCATTAGTTTATGTGGCTCGACATCGTGTCCAGTATGTTGAGATGTTCAGTAACTGGAGTTAGTTGATATAAATTCATGAGGCTAGTTTTCGTGCTATTCGATAATTATTTACAGGGTTCATCTATAACGTTGACTACTAGATAAACATGGTATGAAATAGTGATCTATCGCTTCCAGGTTTTTGATGGTGTAGATTAGATCATTTCATGATTTAAACTATGAAAATTCTACAGCCTCTTCAGATTCATTAAAGCAACATATTTAATGCTCAATTTACTTGTGTTTTTGTGAATTTTCAATTTTAGGATCATGGTGATCATTGGAAACGAATAACTGATTTAGCAGAGCAATCAAATCCATCCGTAACAATGCATCAACCAACGTTAAGACGTTCATCAGAGGTAAAAAAAACTGTACAGTTTGCTTATAAAATGTAAATAAGTACATCATCATCATCGTTATTATTAAGGGATCTGAGTTATTGTGTTGCTAGCATTCAGAACGGAATCCCGATCATACTTTGTTACTATGTAAAAGATCGACGAGACTCTAATTTATGGACAAACCAATCAGATTTAAGATAACAGGTTTTGAATTTTAGCGGGAAATTCATTCACTCATTTGTCTAAACGACGTTTTGGCATTGTAGCTGATGACAATTTGTTATGAAAACACTATATTGAATTCCTAACCCTAACTATCAACTGTAAATCATAGTTCTAACACCTCACACTGCTTTATGATCATCATTTAGACCTAGTTAGTAGGTGGACATTTTCGAGATCATTTTAGTGTTACTGAAAAGTCGTCCATTTATTATGGTCTCACTAAAAGTCCTAATGCGAATTTCAATGACATATAGCTGTGATCTCACTGGTTACTTATGGTAGGCAGATTGTGGCAACTTATGAAATTCATAACGTTTATTTACTCCTATTTGAGAATCGTTAGCCGAAGGCATCTACATCTAAGTGTTGATAGGATGAAATGTCTGGCCTTGATTCCAATGATAGACAGAATTCATTCATTCTAGATGCATAATTAGCTAATAGCTTGTAAACTATGTGTGGACTTATAGTCACGATTTAGTTAAGTGTCACTGGTTAAAGATCATTATATCAAATACAGTTAATTTTAGAAGTTTCGTTAATTAGATGGTCTTATTCATAGATTGATATCACTTAAGTATACCATTAAAAAACTAGATAGGACGAGATAGCTGTTTCATTATAGAATGATACTTGTCAATAGTTTTCAATCTCATCTGACCTTAAGACTACACACAAATGACAAACTTGAAACCAAGTTGAAATACTGTTGTTTGATACTATTTGGTTTCTTATCGAATCTTCAGCTGATATTAATTTGTACTGTTGTGAATGAACATTCGGATGAGAACAAATTACAGAATTCCATCATTTGTCCTTCACATTCTTCCAAGTCACAATTTTTTTTCTATTTCCGTTTGTTTTCTTCAAGTTGACCTACATAGTCTTCTGCTGCCAGGCTTTTCACATCCTACTTACGTCGACAAGCATAAGTAGCATATACCACAGTATTAATGAACTTTTGTGTGTATTTCATTTAAATGTAAACTAATATGAGTTGTCAAGTAATGACAGTCTGAAGATGTAAAATAAATGGATAGCAGTGGGATATAGGACATATATTTCATCCTATTTCGGTCCCTTGAAGTGGATATAACAGCACCCCAGTATGGATACTAATATGACAATCCAGTCCTAAATTTCGGCAACGAAATAATTCCATGTATTAATAATAATCATATAAACATCATGCCTAATGAATAAGTTACTGACTCAGTAATTCAACTGATAGCACGTTGATGTTTGAAGTGAAAGGTACTGAATTCGAGTCTCTATGAGAATATAAACAACAGAACTTATGTCAATTTATTTGACGAACACTAAATAGGTGAAAACACACTTTCTGCATTCTACCACTAACCATAATCCATCTATTCTGTAAAATATCTGTGGATAGTTTATGTTTAAAACTGATAATAGCTGAGAGGAAATATTGAAACATAAGAATTATTATGGTAAGCAGAGATGGATAGTGGCTAGCAGTGGAATCCAGGACAAGGCGCGTTTCGTCCTATTTGGGACTCGTCAGCTGGATGTACCTGCATCTCAGAGTTGATGTTCACTCTGGGACTCGAACCCAGTACCCTCGCTTCAAACGCCATCGCGTTATCCACTCGGCCACTGAGTCCTGATAGCCACTTGCTTGTGCGATGGGGTGAAGTTTAAATTCACTTAGTATTGTTTGTTTGGATCTTCCCATCGATGTGTTTAGGACTGCAACTGGTCAGTCTCTAATTGGCATATGTGCATACTGTGCGTATTGCCTCGATATACCTTAATTCACAAGCATGGTAAGATCCAATGGGAAGATCCAAACAAACAATACTAAGTGAATTCATAAGAATTATTAGTTAATTATTTTGATTTAGTCTAAGACTATCAACCTCTATTCTTCCAGACATCTTGGATGGAACCTATCCCATAATTTTTAGATTCTCACTGTATATGAATTATGGATAAACCGATTAAAGGCAAATACTTGTTATATACATTTAATTGGGATAATAAACCTGTCAATGTCAGACCATCATTAAAAACATGTAAGCACTGGGTGGTTATTGGGTCCTGGTATTGGATTCAACTATGAAAATACTACAATGTTCACAAATTTCCATACTGACTCATGATTTCAACTATATAAAATTACTAAAATCTCCACAAAACCCCTTCGGATATTAATCAACATATGCTCACTAGTGACTGGCTCTATGAGGTATTCCCTGGAGTTCTAGTGAGAAGCAGTAACCAGTGGAGTATAACAAAGTCTGTTGTGAGATAGTAACTCATTGAAAGCAATGATGAATGTGTAGCTCAATTTCGTGGATCGGTTGAAGTAAGACATTAACACCGTTGGATGCCAACCAGCTCAATGGTCTAAAGGTTAAGTATTCGCGCGAGAGGCCGATAGGTCCTGGGTTCGAATCCCGCGAGACGGGATCGTGGATGCGCACTGCCACTGAGGAGTCCCACAATAGAACGAAGTGGTCATCCAGCGCTTCCAGGTGGTCTAGCTTCAATTGACTCATGATTTCAACTATATAAATTTACTGTAATCTTCACAAAATCCCCTTCTAATACATTTAACTCTAATTCATCCTAATTTATACATAGATCTCTATATTTATGATATTGTTATCAACTTGTTCCCTCTCTATCTATTTTCATAGAATCATAAACAGATATCTGAAACGAGTGGAAAATATGATTCACAATCTGTATCACAACAATCTCGTAAAACAAGACCTAGTTATTCAAGTGAAGTAAGAAGATTTCCATTGAATGTGTTAATTTTTTTTCTCTTTATTAAAATTAAATGTTTCTATTATCGTTTTTTCTCAGTTATGTAGCTAAATATTTGATAAGTCTTATTAATTGAACGCTATAATCGAGATCCTAGGCTAGTCCCGCTGTAGTGTGGTCTAATTATATCCATATAAGTAGTATATGGTGATGGTCAGATATAGAATGTATTTTGGCAGAAGACCGATAAGGAAAGAACTGAAATGAAGCGCAATAGGTAGGAAAATGCACAAGCAATGGAATTAGAGAAGATAGATTGATATTTACAGAAGGAACAGTCAAAATTGAGACAATTGGTTGTTATTTTGCAAATTAACTGTTTGCTGTATGGTTATCAGAATTTAGTGAGACAGTCTGTAATTTGTGTCTAAATACATTCGATTGTCTCCACTTGTATTCTCATTCACTACACCGTAACCTTCAAGCTAAATCTACACAGCGACTTGAACACGAGAGAAAAAACACAAATTATACCGGAAGCACTTTACTTTAAATATTCATTTATGTACAGAAAATTTAAGGTTTTTATAGTATTTTAGAAGTCCTTGGGTTTTCCTGAAAATTCTAGAATACTACTAAACATAGTAGTAGCTGTGTAGTAATCAGACAATCAGAAACTCTACATGTTACTTTTCATTTTCGTGTTGTTTCTAACAAAAATTCTAGTCAAATGCTGATTGGATAAAACGCTTCTTAATGTTTCCTGAGCCTTTCTTGTATATTAAGAGAAATTTTCAGGATCGTCCCAACAATATTTATTGAAAACTTCTGAGAGTTCATATAAACAACTGATTTCAATGTATGTTTATGGGAATGTTCCACTTAAACTACATATATGTAGCGGTAAATAAATCCCCAAAATCAATAGTTCTGTAAGTCTTTGACATTTGATACTGATCATATTAGTTTTAATGAACTCATCCAGCTGAAGGTGCTCGGTCACGCATCCGCACCAGATCATGTGTGGGTACGTTGTGCTCAACTTCTCCTACTACCATTAGTCAGTCTAAATCAGTCGATTCTCGATATATTGATTGTTTATAAAATATATTTTCGAACCTCTTCGTTTCTGATTTCACTGGATTGGCACGTTTTTATTATAGAAGGTGTTACTGGTTAAGGTGTTGTCAAACTCTAAATACTTCTGGGATCTTCATATATAACTATTAAATATTGAGATAATTCATCATTTGTCACTAAACATTACGAATTGACATTATTAAGAAAACCACTTATGAATTAGGATGTACTAAACAACTGTTCCATTCTAGCAAGAAAAATTCTGTTTCTGTAAGTACCTACAATACAGTCAGTGACAGAATACAGAGCATTCAAGTTTCTCGTTAAGTGCTTTATGTTCAAATCATTGAGCTGATGTCTATTGGTTTATATTCACATATTTATTGAATTCATGATGTGTCACTATACAATGGTTATCACTGATGATATTTGTCTCATACATAATATGCTCTCTTGAATCTACTTGACACCTCTATTTTTTGAACAAAACAATAACATAATTCACAGATGATGAATGGTGGAGAAGATTTGTAGCTCAGGTGAATGATTTTGATGAAGTTTTGTTTTCTGAGCTGAATGGTTTGGTCGTGGAGCTTTCATCGTTCTTTTGAACGACGTTATCAGCACAAACTTTGGATAGAAGTGAAGTGTTCCAATTTTTTCATATGCAATTCACAATTTGTCCTGTACACCAATCAACATCAAGGTGTACAGGATAAGCTGTGAACCACATGTGGAGAAATTCGAACACTTCACTTCTACCCAAAGTTTAGTATTCATATTGTATGTTAATTAACTTAATGATCTTAAAAGATTTTCACATTGTTTTCATTACGCAATGAAAACATATAGGAAAATTGTACATGGAAAGTATTTTAGTGACTGTTACTATATTAAACCCATATATGTTTATTCTAACTTCTGGACAGACCAATTTATTCATTCATCTTAAGCCACATTTTGTCTTTGTTGATTATTTACTTATTAATCCTGATTGTTTTTGTTTGATCATATGTATGTTAATTACTTGCTTCATTCATTGACTATCTGTAATTTATTTTTGTCTGGATATAAATATCAAGTCATGCTTGATTGCATAGAGTTGGCTCACTCGCTTTCTCCACTGCTCACCAGTTCGTTTCGCTGTACTTTGCTCTCTCCTCTTAGCTTCCTTTCAATAAGTGTACGTATTCAAACTCCAATCTCTTACTTGGCTTATTCAATTCCGTCTTTTACTAACGCAATTTAAGTCAGTAATGATATATGAGGGTTGGTGGCATGTATATTTCAATATCAATCATCATGAGATATAACTGGAGTCAGATATGAGGCCACTACAGCATTCGTCAATAACTATTATTTAAATATTTTAATTTCAAAGAGTCAGATATAACTAGTTCAAATTGTAGTAAAATATTAGGAATTATGAAAGTATAGCGAAGAACATCAATAGTTGAAATCATGAATCGATTGAAGGTAGACTACCATGGAAAACCTGGAAGTACTGGACGGCCGTTTCGTCCTAGTATGGGACTCCTCAGTAGTGCATACTCACGATCCCGCTTACGGGATCCAAGCCAACGAACTTCGATCACACACTCGAACGCTTAACCCACAAACCACTGAACCGGTATCCAACGGTGTTAATATCTAACTTCAACCAATCTATATTAAGCTAAACCACTTTACAGTAGTCGATTTTATATTTCTAATCTTATTACCTTTGTTTACATCGTTTAAAATACAATCCCGTTTGTAAATATTTAGTAACTTCAAATAATCACTATTTTTAGTATATTTGTATCCCAAATGAGTGACTTCTATATTTCCGTTTAAAAAACGTTTAGCAAACACAGCTTTCGCAACGAATAAATGTTTAAACCAATCTTTACTACTGACAAGTAGTATAAATGAATTGGAAAAACTTCAAATGACAACACAAAACAATTTGTTTTTTATCACTAGATATGATTCATTGATCATAATAAATCTTTGACCAAGATCTGGAAACAAGGAAGTTTACATATCATGATGAGAATATCTCCTCCCTTTTTTACCGGATAAACATTAATCATAATGAACTCAACAGCAGAGATAATTAGTGGCTGGCGTGGAATCCAGTACGCTATTTACGTCCTGTTTAGGATTCATCAGTTGAATGTATCTGCATCCCAGACTTGATAGTTATTCAGGGACTCGAATCCAATACCGTTTATCCCAAACATCATTTCATTGTTAACTAAGCTAATGAGTTTAGATGGCTACTGGATTGTGTAATCGGGTAAATTAAGTATACCATTGTTATCAGTGATAAATATTTTGGAGTCAATTAAAGCTTTATACAGAAAGAAAATCCTTTTTAATTGATTTTTTTTTCCAAATCAGAAAACTGTGAAAGAATTTGAAGAACTCACTGTTGAAGTAGAAGAAGAAAGTAAGGTGTTTGATAGATATACCGAATTCGGTGGAATCAAATCTCAGGAAACAGTGAAAGTAGAGGATGAGGAATGTGACAAAAATGTGAGTTTTATTATTTTCTATCGATTGTGAAGTGCATACTGATATATATACATCTACATAACTTAGGTCAGACATAGAAATAACTGTAAAGATGATTCACGTTCTATTCAGGAATATTTGGGAGGAAGAACAAGTGTTGATAGACTGGAAAATAGAATATCTCATCAGTATAGCAAAGAAAGTAGACCTAAAGAAATGTGAAAACTAAAGAGGCATCATAATACTATTGGTAGAAGGAAACGTTGACGACAAATTGTTGTTGAACAGGATGAAAGATTCAGTAGACGAAAAGTTTCGAGATAAACAGGTCGGATTCTGTAAGGATCAGTTGTGCACAAACTGAATCGCGACACTATAGACCATCGAGCAATCTTACTTGCTTACTTACGCCTGTTACCCCTCGTCGAGGAGCATAGGTCGCTGACCAACACTCTCCTTCCAACTCTGTCCTGAGCCTTCCTTTCCAGTTCTTTCAAGTTGCCATTCATCCTTTTTATATCTGCTTCTGTTTCCCGGCGTAGTGTGTTCTTTGGCATTCCTCTTTTCCGCTTCCCTTCCGGATTCCAAGTTAGGGATTGAGTCGTGATGCACATTGGTGATTTCCTCAATGTATGTCCGATCCACTTCCAACGTCTTTTCCTTATTTCCTCTTCAGCTGGATGCTGGTTTGTCCTCTCCCATAAAACGCTGTTGCTGATAGTATCCGGCCAATGGATGTTGAGTATTTTTCGTAGACAACTATTTATAAATACTTGTAGCTTCCTGATGATGGTCGTAGTAGTTCTCCACGTTTCAGCTCCATACAGTAGGACTGTCTTGACGTTCGTATTAAAGATTCTGACCTTGAAATTGGTTGAGAGTTGTTTTTAGTTCCATATGTTCTTAAATTGTAAAAATGTTGCCCTTACTTTGCCAATCCTCTCCTTTACATCTGCATCCGATCCTCCTTGTTTATCAACGATGCTCCCCAGGTACTTGAATGTTTCCAACTCTTCCAGAGTTTCGCCATCAAGTGTGATTGGGTTGGTGTTCTCCGTGTTGCATTTGAGAATCTTGCTTTTTCCTTTGTGAATGTGGAGGCCTATCGATGCGGAGGCTGCTGCTACATTTGCTGTCTTCATCTGCATTTGTTCGTATGTATGAGAGAGGAGGGCTTGGTCATCTGCGAAGTCCAAATCATCTAATTGATTCTGAGCTGTCCATTGTATTCTGTATTTCCCTTCAGATGTCGAATTCTTCATAATCCAGTCAGTCACTAGAAGGAAGAGGAATGGGGAGAGCAGACAGCCTTGTCTGACTCCGGTCCTTACTGGAAATGCATCTGTCAGCTGTCCTCCATGCATGACTTTGCACTGTAGTCCATCGTATGAGTTTTGGATAATGTTGACAATCTTTTCAGGAACTCCATAGTGTCGAAGAAGTTTCCATAATGTTCTCCTGTCCACGCTGTCAAACGTTTTCTCATAGTCAATGAAGTTGAAGTATAGTGATGAGTTCCACTCAATTTATTGTTCCACGATGATCGGTAGTGTCGCAATCTGGTCTGTGCATGACCTATCCTTATGGAATCCAGCCTGATGATCCCTTAGTTCGGCGTCTACTGCGTCTTTCATCCGATCCAGCAGCACTCTGTTGAAAACTTTTCCTGGTACTGATAACAAACTGATGCCTCTGTAGTTTTCACATTTGCTCAGATCTCCTTTTTTGGTATCTTGATGAGATATCCTTCTTTCCAGTCCATTGTCACTTGTTCCTCTTCCCAAATCTTTTTGAATAGAAGGTGAAGCATATTTGCAGTTATTTCAATGTCTGACTTCAGTGCTTCTGCTGGTATATTGTCAGGTCCTGCCGCCTTCCCACTTTTGATTTGTCTGATGGCCATCTTGACTTCTTCGATCGTTGGTGGAGTGACATCTATTGGAAGGTCAGTGTGTGCTGCTTCGATGTTCAGTGGGTTCAATGGGGCTGGTCTATTCAGCAGTTCCTCAAAGTATTCTGCCCATCTTTTCCTCTGTTCTTGAATCTCCGTGACTGTCTTTCTTTCTTTGTCTTTGACGGGTATCTTCGGGTTACTATATCTCTGTGCTAGTTGCTTCGCTGTATCATATAGTTGTCTCACATTCCCTTCTCTTGCAGCTTTTCCCGCCGTCGTTGCTAGTTCTCCCAAGTATTTCTGCTTGTCGGCTTTAATGCTTTTCTTTACTTCCCTGTTTGCTTCTGCGTAGTCTGCTTGTGCTTTGACTTTCTCTGCTCGTGTTCGGCTGTGGTTAATTGCTAGTTTCTTGTTCTTCCTTTTTTGAATTTTGTCCAAGGTTCCCAGAGAGATCCATTCCTTGTGATGATGCTTCTTAGGACCAAGAACCTCCTGACACGTTGAAGTTAGTGCTTCTTTTATCCCTTTCCAGTTGTCCTCCATCGTAGTTTCTTGTTCTTTCAGTAAATCCTGTAGAGCCTGGAACCTGTTGTTGAGAGTTATCTTGAATTCATGGAGCTTGTCAATATCTCGAAGGAAGGCTGTATTGAACCTTTGTAATGCTGTTTGTTCAGTTGTCCAGTCTTTCTTTAGCTTCAGTCTCATCTTGGCCACAACCAGGTGGTGATCTGAAGCTATGTCAGCTCCTCTCCTTCTTCTCACATCTTCCATTGATCTTCGGAATTTTTTGTTGATACAGATGTGATCTATCTGGTTCTCTGTGGTTTGGTCCGGTGAGATCCATCTAGCTTTGTGTATGCGCTTGTGTGGGAATATTGTGCGGCCTATAACTAATTTGTTGAAAGCACATAGATTTGCAAGTCTCTCCCCATTTTCATTTCTCTCTCCTAGTCCATGTCGTCCAATTACATCTTCATATCCTGTGTTGTCCACCCCAACTTTAACATTTAGATCTCCCATCAGGATGGTGAGGTCCTTTCTTGAGCACTTTGCTACAATTGATTGCAGCCTTTCATAGAACTGATCTTTAACATAGTCGTTGCTGTCATTGGTGGGTGCATAACATTGGATAACGTTCATTGTCGTCCCTTGCTTCTTTGTTCTGAATGATGCTTTGATTATCCTGGGTTTGTGAGATTCCCATCCCACAAGTGCATCTCGTGCTTCTTTGGACAGAATTAAAGCAACTCCCTGAGTGTGTGGAGCATTTTCCCCTTCGTGACCGGAGTACAGCAGCATCTCTCCTGTACCTAGCCTTTGTTGTCCAGTTTGTGTCCAATGGGTTTCGCTGATTCCGAGTACTTCCAATTTGTATCTCCTCATTTCCATTGCTATTTGGCTGGTCTTTCCTGTCTCCCACATTGTCCGGACATTCCATGTACCTATAAAGAGTGTTGCTCTGGTTGTGTGGAATTCATCATTATAAATCAACCTCCTTGACTATGAGAAGGCGTTTGACAGTTTGGATAGGAGAGCCTTATAAAATCTTCGTCGATGCTCTGATGTACCTGGGAAGACTATCAGCATCATCTAGAATTCATTCTATGGACTACAGTTCAGAGTCGTACACGAAGGACAACTAACAAAATCATTACAAATAAGGACCGGAGTCAGAAAACGTTACTTACTCTCTCCTTTTCTCTTCCTTATGGTGGCTGACTGAATTATGAAGATCTCCACTTCTCAAGGGAAGCTCGACGATTCAGACTTGGCACACAACCCTAACCACTGTAGTAGCTGCCTTTGCAACAATAGACCTCACCGAACACAAGATAAGAACCAAGATTTCCAAATACAACACAGAAAGCATCGACCCAATCACATTTGACTGAGAAGCTCTACAAGAGATGGAAACATTTATATACTTATGCATAAATATTAGGAAATTGAAACATTAAAGTGATTTGTGTTGACTTTACAAAGTTCAATTTTATGATTTTATATTTCCGACTGACAATCGTTAAAAGTCAGGATTTATTGAACACCTATTTAGTGATAAGAAACTGCAAATCTTACAGTCTTTACAATTCTCTATACTAACAGTTATAATGAACTAACCAGTTACTAACTTGAAGGAATGATTCTCAGAGTTCTAGTAAAAAATCGTAAACAATTGATTTCAGCATTATAGTTCTGCGATTCCATAAATTAACTGAAGTTATAACCGTAAAATATTACATGCTAAGTGAGTGTATATGCTAACAGAGAAACCTGAAAGCCTTATTGTGGAAGATCACTTCTAATAAGTCTCATACAGAAATGGAAATTATGTTTCGCGTTTCCTAGTCCTCAGTGGTAATCCAACTAAGACTAGTTTATGTAATCGAACTGTATGATCTATAATCTATACAATCTCCTGTAATAATGTAATTCAGTTTTATTCACAGTAAATTTAATTCTCAGAATGAGAGATTGTGGAGATTGAAGTAATTTCAATAATTGGATTCATGAGTCGGTCTAATATTGACCACCATTGAAAATCTATAATCACTGGACGGTCGTTTTGTCATAGCATGAAACTTCTCAGCAGTGCACATCCACAACACCACATGCAAGACTCGAACCCAAGACCTTCAGCGTCGTGCCGAGTGTGAGACAGTTATCCACAGTAGACAATGGATGAAGAGTTGTACAAATCATGCGTCGACTGGAGTTAGACAGTAACACAGTTGGATGCCGGCCCAATGTTCTAGAGGTAAATTGTTCGTGTGTAAGACCGAAGGTTCTAGGTTCGGCTCCCACATGTGGTATCGTGGATGCTCTCTGCTGATGCGTCCCATACTAGGACGAAATGGCTGTTTAGTGCTTCCAGGTTTTTAATTGTGATCTAGTTTACATCAACTGACGATTTCAACTGTTGAAACTACATAATTATCAACCAATTTATAATAAATTACTATCAATTCGTTTCTCTGAATTAAAAAATCACATTTTTATTGTAATTATTACAAATAGTCTAAAGTTAAATATTTGATACGATCATAAAATTAAACCATACATTGTTAGGACAAGTTGCTTTCAGGATTCCGTAGCCAAGTGGGTAATGCTATGGCATTTGAAGCGAAAGGTACTGGGTTCGAGTTTCAGAGTGAACATCAACTCTGAGATGCAGGTACATCCAGCTGACGAGTCCTAAATAGGACGAAACGCGCGTCCTGGTTTTCACTGCTAGTCACTATTCATCTTTGCCTATAAAAAACAAAATGTTTACAATTAATCTAATGGTGAATAATGATCAGTGTTCTATTTGTCTAGTCTTTTTCATACTGATCCGGTCCTGTCGATCAAGTTAAAATGAGATCAATAATCTAAATAACTTGTTAAATGTGTCTACTATACTAAGGTGTCAGAAGATTAAAGTTGGTTTATGAATAATATTGAATCTAGGTTTCATGTAAGTTGGCATTTTTCAACAATTTACACCTGAAATCTTGATGAATCTAATACTTCCTAGTCTGATAATTATCAATCTATCAGACCTACAGAAAATCACCAGCTCATGGTAACGTCTAGAACCGTGAAGCTGGATGACATCGATTAAAATTATCCAGTAAGGATAAGATCTCTTAAATTTCAGATACATCTTGTTGAAAAGTGTATATGGTTTACTAAAAAACATCTCTGATAACAGTATTACCCAAAAATAGAGAGTGAAACTTTTACGTAGTACGATTTTTTTTTCAGTTACTATCCAAAACACAATTCAATAAAAAACAAGATCAAACCGAATTGATTTTACATACTAATCGATCAATTAGAAAACAAATGTCATGTATTAAAGATCATCCTAAACCTCAACCATTCCCAGATAGACAACTTTATATATATGTCATAGCAGATCCAACAGGTAAGTATTTATAAATGTATTCAATTTTGTTATAATAATGATATACATGTGATAACTACTAGTTATAATTAATGGTTATGTACTTCATCACCAATCATCATATACAACCTTTTACTCTATTTAACTATCAAACTTAACGTTGTATTACTTGTTCCATTAAAAAAACAATCACACATAGGTGATATAAGAATAACATGAAGATACTAAAATATAAAATAATAAGGCGGCGGTAAACCTTGGATTATGAAGATTTCTAAAAATCTCTTGAATAATGGAAATGAAGATGAAGACAACTAAACTATCATGAAATAGGAATATAACTAATTTGTTCTAATTTTTATTAATTCAATATGTACAATCATACGACAGACTACAGTGCAAAGTCGTGCATGAAGGACAACTGGCAGATGAATTCCTAGAAAGAACCGGAGTCAGACAAGTCTGTCTAATTTCCCCCTTCCTCTTTCTTCTGGTGGTCGACTGGATTATGAAGACCTCGATATCTTAAGGGATGCACGGAATGCAATGGACAGCTCAAAATCACAAGATTTGCACTTCACAGATGACCTAGCCCTCCTATCCTATACACACGGATAAATGCAGATGAAAACAACAAGTGTAGCACCAGCCTCTACATCAGTAGATCACAAGATACACAAATGGAAAACCAATATCCTCAAATAAAACATGGAGAACATCAAACTAATCACATTTGATGGTGAAACGCTGGAAGGTGTGAAATCTTTTACGTACCTAAACAGCAGCATCCGTGAACAAGGAAGATCCGACGCAGACGTAAACGTGAAGATTACAAATGAAGGACAGCTTTGTTACAGTCGAATTGATGTCAGTCAAAGAGTATTGTACTTTATGCTTCCAGTTTTATATCGAGTCGTGGATGTTCATTACCATGAAATAGTGGACGACAGACAAGACAAAATGTGATCCTGTAGAATAAAAATTGAAAATAATTCAAATTAAATTAAACATATGAGATGAATTACGTAAAAGTAGAAAATTTTAAAAGTCTAACAGTACTACTAGAACCATACAAATAAGTTTACAAGAAGAAGGTACAGAGCTTCAATATGACAGATTTTTGGCATTAGATAGTTGGAAGATAGTCGATGATAAATCTTAAGTTTCTTTCTAGTTAGAACTAATCAATAAAAACTACATTGTAATCATTATATACTTATAGATATGCGGATTGAACTCACTAATTTAAGAATGTATGTTTGGCCATATTTACAAAGAATTTGTAATGAACGTGGATTTACACTGAATATCATTGATGATAATATGGATACAGATATTGAACCACGTAATCAATTGATGACATCAATGATGAATACATCATATGATTCAATAGATGATTATGAATTAAAACAACATTTGTCTAGAAGAATGAAACAAAAGAATTTTCTAAATTGTCTGGTAAGTAAATGTTTCATCAATTCTAACTACATTCACTTAGTATTGTTTGTTTGAATCTTCCCATTTATGTGTTAGGACTGCAACTGGTCAGTCTCTAATTGGCATATGTGCATACTGTGCGTATTGCCTCGATATAGCCTTAATTCACAAGCATGGTAAGAAAAGATGTATAGTGGCTAGCAGTGGAATCCAGTTTGACGCGCGTTTCGTTCTATTTGGGACTCGTCAGCTGGATGTACCTGCATCTCTGGGACTCGAACCCAGTACCTTTTGCTTCAAACGCCATCACGTTATGCACTCGGCCAGTGGGTCCTTTCAATATTGAGTGTGACACTGTTAAACCACTAAGTTGATCACCAGGAATTCACATTGTTTCTGACTTAAGTCGCTGAGTGATATCCCATTGTTGAATATGAAATCATGAACTTAATCATGTCGTATTTTTTTTGTAACATTGGAAGGTCCAGAATACTAACCTGTTAATATAAGGTAGTGAGGAGTTTTCGGTTGAGAGGTAACAAGCTCCCGGTGCCATGTAGATGTCAATGACATTTTTTTAGTAGCTATTAGTTCATAATAAGAATTAGTTAAAAACCTACGAAATTTTCAAAAAATTTACCCTTAATCAAGGATGCTGAATGTTCCCATTTAGAAAAATACAGACTTAATTACTAAATCAATGAAATCTATTGAAGATTGTTCTGATATTGAAAAATTGACTGTTTCATAATGTTCTATGGACTTACTAGAACAAAATAAATGAGAAACATTTTTTTCTTCACTTTTCTCGTTTTTTTTCTTTGATCTTCTTAACCTTCTGCCTGTAGAAATCTCCCTTTCAGTTGGTGATACATACTACTTATATCTGTCTATATCAGTAGCATACACTACAATACATATTTCGATAGTATTGAATCAAGCATTTTTTTTAGTATCTATGGTCATATCCTCAAAATCTCTTGTTAAGAGTAAAGAGAAAGACCATAGTTGTTTCAATATTATGCTGATGGATGTAAGTAGTATGTAGCTGTGGTGGTCGATATTTGATATTATCCCTAAACTTCGTATATTGTTCGTCCTGATAACCGTTACTCGATAACGTTCTAACACTGTATAAATCAGAAAGCGAATACAAATAGTTGATTACGTTTATTATTGAACCACACACAGATATCCAAAATTACAGTCACGTTAAGCAAGCATGAAAGAGTAGTGCCGTAAAGCAGGTGAGTGATCGTAAGAGTCGAATGAGCGAGAGATCAGTCGATCGAATCAGCGAGTAGGCGAATACAGTATAGTGAAGAGGATTAAGATGTGCATATATATACAAATGGAAAAGCATGAATCATCGAATAAGTTAAGTGATTAATAGTAAGGCTAGCAGAATGAATACATGCGTAGGCAGTGAGCAGTGCTCAAGCGTACATAATCAAGACACAACAGTATAGATAGGTTGTTGCTGTACGAATGACTGTCCGTTAAATAAGTTAACAAAAGGGCTTAACCAAATTAGATGTAAACAAACTCAATTGTGTGTGAGCTGCTACATAGCCCCAATCGGATGTGGAATGTCTACCAGCAGAAGATTGGGAAGAGAACAGTAAGGGAAACAGAGAGAAATCGTTCTAACAACAGAAATGAAAGAAACATAAATCATGTAAAGGACAATTGAAGAAAGATATGTATATAACACTATCGTTAATTATAACTTTAAATTGTCATAGTTGAAAGTATGAGTCAATTGAAGCTAAACCACCATGGAATACCCGAGTGCACTGGATGGTTGTCTTATCTTACTGTGGGACTCCTCAGTAGTGCGAATCCACGATCCCACCTCGCGAGATTCTAACTCAGGACCTTTCGGCCTCACGTGTGAATGCTTAACCTCTAGACCACTGAGCTGGTTGGATTCCAACGGTGTTAATGTCTAACTTCAACCATTCCACGAAATTGAGCGACACATTCACCACTGTCTTCAATGAGTTACTATCTCACAACAGACGTAGTTTGAACTCCACTGGTCACTGCTCCTCACTAGAACTCCAGGAATTATCTCTTGAAGTCAGTCACTATTGAGCATATGATTATAAATTTCGATAGAACAATGAGAAGACGTAGTTGATCTGAAAAATGTGATGTATTTGCGCTATACATTTCGAACAATCTGGTCACACATATACTTGTCAAGGCATTTTTATATGAAAATTAATAAAGGTCAAAGAAACAAATAAAAGTACAACTAAAATAACTAAGGGGGAGAAAGAATAAGAAATTGTCGCGTTATTCTAGGCCATAGAATGACTTAAGGATTACCAAGGTAAATTCAAGGTTGATTATAGTCAGAAGGGGTTTTTGTGGAAATTGTAGTATTTTCATGGTTGAAAGCATCAGTCAATTGAAGCTAGACCACCAAAGAACGTTTCTGTTTTGCTACATGAAACTTTATCTGATCATTCAAACAATTTATTCCACTCAAACATTTATTTTTACTTTATTACCGTGTGTAAAGCTACTGTATCAGAATAGACTAAACAATCACTGAAATATATTCAATCATAGAAGCAGTTCAAAATGAAATATATGACCTTATGCATTTGCCAAGTGATTATTGAAATATTTATCAAAATATTCAAGTTGATTAATCATAAATGGGTTTTCCTAGTGATTAGACATTAACTTCAATAGTTAAGATCATGCATCAATTGAAGCTAGATCACCATGTAAAACCTGGAAGCACTGAAAATCCTCCCTCTGATATTAATCAACACATGTTCACTAGTGACTGGCTTCAAGAGGTATTTCCTGGAGTTTTGTGGATATTATAGTAATTTTAAGAGTTGGGATCATAAATCAATTAAAGCTGAGGAGTCCCACAATAGGACGAAACGGCTGTCCAGTGCTTCCAGGTTTTTCATGATGGTTTAACTTGAATCGACTCATTATTTCAACTATTAAAATTACTATAATATCCACAAAAGCCCTTCTGATTAGATATTACTTAGGGAATCATTGGAAACTGTTGGTACTAGGTAATTACTTCATTATACTTTGGAATTTCTCAACAGTGCATAGTTATTTTGACTCTCTGGATCAAGCTAAGGATCATCGGATCATGTAACAATCATGATTCTTAATGATTAATAATCTGATCTTTTCTAGTAACTGACAAAATGTCTTAGTTACCATCCAAAATTGACAAAAATATTTACATAATAAGGTAAGAATTTATAAATTGGACATTGATTCTTATTTGTGACAAAAATATTTCAATAATTGAGATCATGAGTCAATTGAAGCTAGACCAACATGAAAAACCTGAAAGCACTGAACAGCTGTTTCGTCCTAATGTTGGACTCCTCAGAAGTGCACATCCACTATATGGGATTTGAACCCAGGACCTATCAGTTTCGTGCGTTAGCTCTTAATGACTAAACCATTGAGCTGGCCTACATCCAACGGTGTTGATGTCTAACTTCAATCGAACCACGAAATTGAGCGACATATCCACCAATGGGTAATTGCTTCATTATACTTTGGAATATCTCAACAGTGCATAGTTATTTTTACACTCTGGATCAAGCTAAGGATCATCGAATCATGTAACGATCATGATTCTTCTAAACATTCTGATTAATAACCGTATCACTTCTAGGAACTGAAAACATACCTTGGTTACTATCCAAAATTGCCAATGAACATTTTTCACAGTTGAAATCACGAATCAATTGAAGCTAGATCACCATCGAAATCCTGGAAGTACTGGACAGCCATTTCGTTCTGTTATGGAACTCCTCAGCAGTGCACATCCACGATCTCGAACATTTATCTTAACATTCATTTATATGAATTAAATTGTAATGCACATTTTCCTTATTCTCTATCAAACTATATAGATCTTACTATCTAATCGTTCAGTTGGTCCAATTGTTCAATTACCTCAATATCTTCCTAATAATTTAATAAAACAAATTAAAAATAATGCATTAGAAGAAATAGAAGATATAAAATCTGAAATAACTATGTTATCAGAAAAATTACCTGGATTTGATAGTCCACGTCTTCAACGTCGTCTTTCTAAATATTTAGGTTCACAAACATCATTAGGATCATTAACTGAAGAGGTAACAATGAAACAAGTAAGTATTTATATTGATAATTGAAATGAATTGTTGTTTGTATTACCAAACTAAGAATTTATAAATTGCACATTCGTTCTTATTTTGTGACAAAAAATATTTCAATAGTTGAGATTATGAATTAATTGAAGCTAGATCACTATGGAAAACCTGGAAGCAATGGACGGCTGTTTCGTCCTATTGTGGAACTCCCTAGTGGCAGTTCGCATTTACGATTCACCTCGCGAGATTCGAACCTAAAACGTATTAGTTTTGCACCCGATCGCTTAACCTCTAGACCACTGAACTGGTCGGCATCCAACGATGTTAATATCCAACTTCAACCGACGCATCCACCAATGTCTTCAGTGAGTTACTATCTCACAACAGACCCGATTGAACTCCATTGGTCACTGCTTTTTACCAGAACTCCAGGAAATACTTCATGAAGTCAGTCACTAGTGAACATATTTTGATGAATATCAAAAGGGGTTTTGTGGATATTACAGTAATTTCAATAGTTCATTTAAATGATAACAAAATATCAGATATGATTGGTTTACAAATGTAAATATTGTAGGTACATGAGAAAGACATATAGCCTCGATCATATAAAGTTCATCGTATCAAACTAATTCAATATTCATATATTTTACAATAAATCATTATCTGTAATGATAAAAGCACTATCAATTAAAGAATTGACTTCGGAAATCGACGTACGACTCAGTTTAGTTATCATCGTTCAATATTTTCTCTCTAAACTCGTTCGAGTTGACATTTCAACTTCCAAGAAACATATGATTTTGACTGTGGTTATAGAACTTTTCCGAAGATTTTAAAAAGAAGACCTAGGATCTGATGAATTCGGTTACGGTACGGATCTATTTTAAATCAGCAAAGAAAGATATTAAACATTGAACAAAGTGCTATGATGTACCCAAATACGGAGGCTGTTTTAAGTAAATAATATGTAAATGAACAACAGATGTAATGAAGGCAAACTACTAAAAATGATGGACGGATAGAGCAGTAATAATGAAATGGATTAGATGTCAGGGATTCGTATTTGTTTAAGAGTAACAACTCTATACAATAAAGAGTGATAACAAAATTTACTTAATTAAAAATGATTGATAATAACATCATCTTATTTGCAATTGAAACCACGAGTCAATCTAATCTGGGCAAGTATCAGAAACCTGGAAGCATTGAATGACCGTTTCGTCCTAGTATATGACTCTTCAGAAGTAAGCATTGAGGCATTCATGCAGGATCATGGATGCTCACTGCTGATGAGTCCCATACTAAGACAAAACGGTCATCAGGTGTTTTCAGGCTTCCAACGTTGGCCTGGATGATACTGACTCTTGATTTCAATTGTGAAAATACTATAATCTCCACAAATCCTCTATATTGACAACATAATCTTTCGAATATCAGTAAGTAGTATGGTGGAATGCCAAGAAAAATTATGAACATGGGGATTTATATATTGTATGATCGTTTTTTTTTTACTGAACGCTAACATATCTACTGATCTCTTGTATTTTAATCATTTTAGTCTAATATGTCACCAATAAGTGATGCAATACCCAATAGACGGAATACTTTAAAATTTTCTAATGTTACACCAATACAAATGACACAAATTGAAGATTCAATACGTCAGAAAAGCGAAATTATACGAACACTTAATCCAGATATTTTAGATAAATGGTACTGTCCAACTTCAGATTCTCATCCAGATATTTCATATTTACAACCAGTTAGGTATGTTTATTTTAATTTTACGTAATTTTTATCAACCAACTTTTGAAAATCTTGAATTAGTTGTTAGATCTAGTCAAGATGTAGTAAACATACCACAAATAATCCAGTTCTCAATAAGTTCTGTATTTTGATGGCGATGTCATTGTGAACAACATCACTAGATTCTATTTCATTTAGATTTAGGCTTTTTATACTAGTTCTGTAGGTGTGATGTGTAGGTGAGAATAATAATGATTGACTGCTTGCTTATTGAGACTAGTAGATTGTCTGACAGGTACCAGATGAGTTATATATTCCCTTACCCTTATTATTACTATGATTATTATTGGATTGTATAGGCTTGTTGTCAGGTTCTGGTGTGAAAATATATATACATTCTGGTCAGGCTAACCACGTGTTCTTGACCTGAGTTATGTTGAACTACTGTAGGATAGACCCCGGGAAGGAATATAGTTCAGATATTCGTCTAAGGTAAATTAACATTCATTTCTAATATATTCATAAAAATCTCTAGTTTTACCTTTGTTAAAGTAAGTATTCCTTATCTAGATTCAATTGTAAGTCTTATTATTATCAATTTTCTTAATTAAGTCAAGTTCTCCCAGGGATTACATGTTTCGATGATCAAAATATACGTCAAGCGGAGTTGAAATCTTGGCTAAATGATTCACATCGAATACGATGTTTACTTATGCGTTTCTCTGATCAAAGTCAAATAAATAGTTCATCAGCTACATCATACCGTTTATCCGATATGGAAATACCGACACCGAATACTGAAAGAATTCATTCAAATACGGATTCTATTCCTAATTCAAATAGACAAACTGATATGACTGATAGATCATCTTATGTAAAGGAAAAGTATAATTTTCAGTCAGGTAAGTTCTGTACATTTTGTTTTATTATTCGAATGTTTTTGATGAGTAGTGAGAATAGTAAGCAGAGATGGATAGTGGCTAGCAGTGGAATCCAGGACGTGCGTTTCGTCCTATTTGGGACTCGTCAGCTGGATGAACCTGCATCTCAGAGTTGATGTTCACTCTGGGACTCGAACCCAGTACCCTCGATTCAAACGCCATCGCGTTATTCACTCGGCCACTGAGTCCTGATAGCCACTTGCTTGTGCGATGGGGTGAAGTTTAAATTCACTTAGTATTGTTTGTTTGGATCTTCCCATCGATGTGTTTAGGACTGCAACTGGTCAGTCTCTAATTGGCATATGTACATACTGTGCGTACTGCCTCGATATACCTTAATTCACAAGCATGGTAAGCAGAGATGGATTTAGGTATCGAGGCAATATGCACAATATGCACATATGCCAATTAGAGACTGACCAGTTGCAGTCCTAAACACATCGATGGGAAGATCCAAACAAACAATACTAAGTAGTGAGAATAGTTTAAACTGAGAGATAATTTGATAAAGAACACATTGGAAGTCAATTCTATGCAAAACTTTAAAGTATGTTAAAGATGTTTAAACTTGTAGCCATGTGCCCCTATCAGTATACCACGTGATGATATCAATAATTAAAGAAAAATGATTTATCGATGGGGCCAACGATTAATATAACCCGTACGAGCAGTCTGCAGTCCTTATTGGTCTTTATTCCTACTTGGCCTTGCCTGATGAGTCCAGAACACCAATAACAGCCTCTACGATATGAAATATGTATCTCAAACATACTGAGTTTATATACAAACCAAACAGACCACATCATACTACAAAATAGAAAATAACATTTGTACAAGATTTAGCTAAAAGTTGCTGTGAATATGACAGACTGTAATTAACCGACTGAACATAACTCAAGAACAGTAAATCGTATCATAATATTCTGTGGGTCAAAATAAAGCTTATAAAAAGAGGAACATGAATATGCAAAGTTTAGATACTTACTTACTTACGCCTGTTACCCCTCGTCGAGGAGCATAGGCTTCTCACCGAAATTCTCCATCTAACTCTGTCATGAACTTTCCTTTCCAGTTCTTTCCAGTTCTTATTCATCCTTTAGCTACTTAACATTTATACAGTAGGAAATATACATATCATATTGGTCCATAAGTAGTTCTCAAAAGTTGCCATTGATAACTGTCGTCGGGATAAAAAAAAGATCACTAAAATGTATGCACTTGTAGTTAGACAAAATGAATAAATACTAAATGCTTCAACTCATTCTAAAGGAAGGTCAACTTGTTAACTACACAGAACTTTAAAACTATCATAATTTAGATCAAAAGCTACTTGATAGAATGAAATCAAAGGTAAAGTTGACTTCAAATTGTTCTACCTTAAATATTGTAAGAAAATAGGTGACTTTATTTGATAGTATGGCATTTTAAGCAGGATTCCTCAATAATGGCTGAACTATGAATCAACACAGTATTGACAGGAGAATTTTTAAGGACATCACGATATCTATAGGCGGTTAAGTAGGAATTGATAAGATTTAATGCGCTATGGAACACGATAGTTTCATTGTGTCTATCTATGTCACTTTTCTGTTTTAAGCTTACCTACAGTAATTCTAAGTTACTAATGAAGAACAGATTATCCTAATATGAAACAGGATATATGAGAATTAGATAGATCCAAACCATGAACCCACAACAATAATCATCTACCAGAGTGAAGACAGCGAGAAGTTATACAACAAAAAATATAGAATCGATAGCAAGAACAACCAATCAGTTGCCGGTGGAGATCTGTAAAGAATGTTGGTCATCATAATAATTAATTAAAGGTTATGATAACAGTTAAACACAAGTAAATTACATCATTATTAACTAAATAGTTAAATTCATGAGTTGCTTTATGCTAGAACATAAATGGAAACCTGGAAGCACTGGACAACCTTTTTGCCTTTTCTCCTTGTCTTAGATCGACTAATGAATTCAGTTATTAAAATTACTACAATCTCCACAAATCCCCATTCCAATAATAATCAAGTACATACTAGTGACTAGCTTCAATATGATTTCCTTCAGTTCTAGTTATAAGCCATGACCACTGGAGTTCAATCCGTGTTGGGTGGAGACAGTTATCTACTAAAGACAATGAATGAACGGTTGCGCAAGAATATGGGTTGATTGAAGTAATACATTAACACCATTAAATACCGACTCAGTGGTCTAGAAGTTAAGTGTTTGTACACGAAACCGGTGATTCTTGGTTAGAATCTCATATGGGAGATCGTGGGTGCGCACTGATGAGGAGTCCCATATTACGGCAAAGTGGTCGTCCAGTGCTTCCAGGTTTTCAATGGTGTCTAGCTTAGATCGATTCATGAATTCAACTATTTCACTATATTTAAATAGAGTTTTTTTCTGATCTTAATAGTTTATTCTTTATACTTATCATATTTCTTATAATGAAATGGATAGAAGTTGAAAGGCAGATAGAATTGGTTCTACAAAATAATGAATTAAATTCAGACTGTTTTGTTCATATACGTTATCATCAAGATAATAAAATTCCATCAAAAAAATCTACCAATATTAATGATCCTTCTATAACTAGTTGGAGATCCCGATCATTATCATTGGCTTCATGGTCAACCACGAGAACAAATGTAAACACAACGAATTCTAGTTCTTCTAGTTCAATTAAAAATGAATTTCTTTCAAGTGCTTTTAATGAATCACTAGCCAGAGCAAAATTACTTGTGAATTGGGCAAGATTAAAAGTAAATCATACTTTGCAGTTTTCGTTTTTTGTGATATAAAATCCATATGATATATGTACATGTATATAATGATGAACTAGATAGGGGCTTACTTACTTACTTACTTACTTATACCTATTACTCCTCTCGGAGGAGTTTAGGTTGCCCATCAATATTCTCCATGGAACTGTGTTCTGGATAATCTTTTCCACTTGAGCATAATAAATAACCTTAGCATTATTAACATGATGTTGCTACTGGATGTCAGCAATACCTAGGAAACAAGAACTAGATAGGAGCAGTTAGTTAATGAAAAACGAAAACAGTTAATTAATTTCATAAAAGTAATTTAACTGACCCTTCGAAAAACGTTTAGAAATTTTTGTAAATGATTACATTATAGAGCAATATCAGTTAGAGAACTACTACTCCTAATGTAGGACTTCTCAAGAGTATACAGTCACAAAATGATAGAGAATAGAACCCAGAGCCCTCAGGTATCACAGTAAACGCTTGACCTAAAAATCATCAATTTAGAAATCAAGAGTTTACATTCCTAATTTTAATCAATGGTTGAATGTCAGGCAATATTTATAATTGATTGAAATTAAAAATGTTAACCATTTCATTCCAGCTTTATAGTTGGGAGTATAATCGCTCACTTCAATGTCTGAAGATCTTCTCCCTATTCCTTGTTGTGGGTGTGATTACACACTGTTAGTGAGTTTCATTCCAAGAAGAAACGTCTGTCCAATGCTTTGTGGTTTTCAGAAATTGTTTAATTGAGATAATTCTATGGTGCAAACTAAACAGCTTCTACAATCTCCACAAAGTTCGTCTAATAAACTAACAATTAGGTTTTCAAGTAGTTTACTGGTTTCGTTTCAATACTTCGGTCAAACATATAAAATTTGGTCTTTAATATACACATTTTGTTTCGAATCTTTAAATGTAAGTGTTCTCAGATTACTAATTTAGTTGAACTACGTCATCTGCTCGCTTTGATCATCCTACTGACAACTATAGTTAAATATCCCAATTTATTGAAACTTAATTCTTTAATCTGGATGAATGAATTGTAAAGCTTTCAATTGTTTGTTTGTTATATTGATTGAGTGCGTACGTGTCCTGTTTGATATGGGTGATAAGACCGCTAATTGGAGAACAGTGAAATTATTGTTCGGATTAATGATACACAAAAGCCGTATGAACAGTCTTGAGCACTTATGAGTCTTGCTTTCTGTCTAGCCTAGCCCAGCCAGTTAAATCCAGAACACCAATAACAGCCTCTACAATATGAATCATTATTCACAAACATATTGGGTTTATGTACCAAACAAACTGACCATATCGTACCATAAAATAGAAAATAACATTTGTACAAGATTTAGCCAAATGTGGCTGTGAATAGGGGGAACAGTAGTTAATGGACTAAGGATAACTCAAGAATAATAAATCGTATAATAATAGTCCATAGATCAAAATAAAGCTTATTATAAGAGGGACAAAAATATGAATAATTTAGTTACTAAGCAATTATGTAATAAGAAATCTACATATCATATTGGTTCATAAATATTCCTCAAAGTTACCAATCATAATTCTCCACGGGATACAACACTGTTCAAAACAAAGTCATTAACAAACACCTAATATAGAAGTAAGCTATCAAAAATTTCCCCCACATATAACTAGTCTAGTGAACGAGAACACAAATGGAGACAATCGAATGTATTTGAACACAAAATTATAGAATATCTTAGTAATATCTGTGAACCATACAATAAATACTTCATTTGCAAAATATCAATCAATCGTATCAGATTTCATTGTTCTATCGTTTCCACAACAATCATTGTCTGTTCTCGTTCTCTTTTCTTCAATCTTCTTAACCTTCTGCCGCCAGACATGGTACTTCCAAGTAGTGATACATACTACTTATATCTGTCGTCATCAGTAACACACATCAAAATAGTAGATCATTCTATCAACTTTCAAGTTGTTAAGTTTTTATAGACTTTTATTTTCATAGTTCACTTATGTTTGGATGATAATATTATCTAGTAAGATAATAAAAGCTTTACACTTTTGTTGTGACTTTACAAAGGCCGTCGCCAATTTGTTATGACTTTATAAAAAAATAGACGTATGACAATTCGTTATTGATTTTTATGTCCGGCTTTTATCACGTCAATTATCCATCAATCTAATCTTAATACTGTGCCAAAATCAATGATGCCTAATTGGTATGAGCAGTCTACCGTCCTTATTCGTCCGTTGTCCGTCTAGCCCTTCCACTTGAGTCCAGAACACCAGTTGCAGCTTCTGCTTTACGAAACTATGTGAATAATTTTTTTCAAGTATACTCGGTTTATATACTAGACCGACAAACAACATCACACTATAAAATAGAAAATAGTATTTGTACAAGTTCAAGCCAAATGTGGCTGTGAACGTGGGTTACAATATTCAATAGACTGAATATAATTTAGGGACAGTAAATTGTATAATAATAATTCATAGGTCAAAATGAAGCTTATAATAAGATAGTAAACAATAATAATAATAGTAAACAATAGTAAAACAATAAGAATAGATGGCGAGACTAAACTATACTGACGAGCCAATTAGAAGCTTTCGCGGGTTTTCAAGGTCACGGCGCTAAGTTCGGTACCTGATGCTTACGTACGATCGGTTTACAACGAATTTTAGAGAAGACGTGATAATTCAGCGTCTACAAGAGAAGTGATCATAAGATTTTGGCGCGAAATTCAATTATCCATTTGTATAAATATAGTTTTGGCATTATAGCTCAGTTCGTGATGAAAACTCTAAATATAATTCCTAACCTTAACCATGAACTGTAAATCATAATTCGAATTCTTCACACAGGTTTATAACACTCATTTAGTCTTAGTTATTATGTTGACACTCTCAGAGTCACTCTAGCGTCGCCCAAAGGTCGTCCATAATTTAAAGTCTCATCCTTAACCCTAAACCATAACCCTAAACCTTAACTCTAACCCAAAATTCTAAACCATACCAACATACCAACAACATTGAAGCTATGTGGTCGAGGCTAAAAGAATTTTTGAGACCTTATCATGGCTCCAGACGCCGACTACTATGGAGCCACATGGATGAGTTCCTGTACCGGATGCACTATGATTTTAGAACTTCTGAACCTATATCTAACCTTGATAAGTTTTTGAGTCATGTAAAAGAACAGTATCCCCTTTAATTTTTGACTTTAGTATAATATATTTTTATTGTATACCAACTGTCTTCTGATTGGTTATTATTTCTCAAGGTCATTTAAGATTCGTTCAAAGGTCGTCAGTATAGTTTGGTCTCATCGAATATATATAAAGAATAATCGTCTACTAATCGGTTCCGGAAGTTACCCTCACTTATATCTTCGCAAGGATATAACAACTTTAACCGCCTAGTTTACAGAATTCAATTTCAACATATTCTTTTGCTTGTTAACCTTTATTCTATATTATTCACCTTATTAGGTACCAGCTAATAATCAATCTCATTATGAATTAGAAAAATCTGCTTTGATTACATTAAATGATCAAATTCATTGTACACAATCCTATTTAGATCCAATCAATTATCAAGAACATGCTATTTATCTAGATGATCTATGCCGTAATATACGAAATAAATTTAGTCAAAGTTTAATTGAAGAAATGAATAGACGTTCTTTCATTGAAATGGAAAATAGAATCAATAAACAAGTGAATTATTTATATCATTGGTGTTTAGAATATGAAATATCAGCTCATTTAGAAATGATGGAAAGATTGTAAGTGATTTAATTAAATGCTATAAAGTATGAATATAGAAAGCAAATATAGATGGTGGCTAACACTGGAATCCAAGATGCTCGTTTCATCCTGTTCAGAACTTGGTAGATGGATGTATTTAAATCCTTGAGTGGATTTCTACTCCAGGATTTAAAATCAGTACCGTTCGCTTCAAATGCCTATACGTTATTCACTTAGCTACTCAGTCCTGATAGCCACTGGCTTTCAGTCTTAAATATCAATAGAAAGATTCAAATAAACAATACAAAAAGGGAATTAAAACTTCACCCCATCATACAAGTCGATGGCTATCAGAACTGAGTAGCTAAGCGTATAACGTAATGGTATTTGAAGCGAAAGGTACTGGGTTCGAGTACCAGAGTGAACATCAACTCTGAGATGCAGGTACATTCAGCTGACGATTCCTAGACAGGACGAAACGCGTGTCCTGGATTCCTCTGCTAGCCACTATCCATCTTCCTTTATAATGGTTGTGATATAATGTAGCATCGAGGCAATCCACTCAGCATCCACATATACCAATAAGAGACTGATCAATTCTAGTTTAAATCATCAATGGGAAGATTCAAACAATCATTTTAATGAAAATAAGAAAGAATGTAGAATACTGACCTACTTGATAATATAACCAGTGTATTCTTATCATTCATGGATAACTTTCTGAAATAGTTCTAAATGCTCCTGTTTATAAATCACTATTCTTTCAAGTGTTATATTAATGAATTTGAAAATTATTTTATTTTGTATAAAGTATTTATAAAGAAATCGATTAAAATGATACGTTGGAACATCGAGATCGCAATCTGTACATCAACTTAACCCCAAGATTAGATAAACAGTGAACCAAAGTGTTAATTGGAAAGTGGCAAGGATTATGTACATGTTCAAATAGTGATTGCATAATATAGTTAACTCTTAAGTCTCACATAGTTGATTTGGACTGTATTATGCAATGTAACTTCATTAAAGATAAATGTTACTGAATTCACCGTATACTCTTATTTTGAATTATTCTGAAGACTGAAAACGTCAGGTAGAAACAGGTATCTACCTCAGTACAATGAAAGATGGTCATGGATTAGTTGAAGTAAGACATTAATACACTTGGATGCCGGCTCAGTGTTTTAAATGTTAAGAGTTTACGCGCGAGACTGAAGGTCCTGAGTTCGAGCCTCGCATGTGAGATCGTGCATGCGCACTGCTGACGAGTCTCCTATCAGGGCAAAACCATCATCCAGTGCTTCCAGGTTTCTAATGGTGGCTTAACATCGGTTGATTGATAAACTCAATGAAAAACGTCGAAAGTTGACAGTATTCTTAACTGTACGTTGATAAATGTTGCTGAAATAAAATGATTTAGTAATCATTCTCTTTAGAAATTCCTTTTCTATTAGTTTACAACTTCTCAGAAGTCTACAATCATTCATCTAATTAAGACTACCAAATAATACCGTAACTAAGATACTTTGAAGTGGTTAGATTGACAATCAAACACTTAAATTTTTAAATTCAGTCGATTAAAGTATAGGGCAACATCGAAAAGACTATTTTTAAATTTTCGCATAGAAATGAAAATATGTGCATGACTTTTTGTCTTTCATTATAATAAATAAACAATAGAAACACATTTACACAATAAGCAAAGGTGGAAAGTGGCTAGCAGTGGAATCCAGGACGAGCATTTCGTCCTGTTTGGGATGTACCTGCATCTCAGAGTTTATGTTCACTCTGGGACTCGAACGCAGTACCATTCGCTTCAAACGCCATCACGTTATCCACTCGATCAATGAGTCCTGATAGCCAGTTGCTTGTGCAATGGGGTGAAGTTTAAATTCATTTAGTATTGTTTGTTTGAATCTTCCTATTGATGTCCCAGATTGAACATCAACTCTGAGATGCAGGTACATCCAGCTGACAAGTCCCAAATAGAACGAAGCGCGCGTCAAACTGGATTCCACTGCTAGCAACTATCCATCTTTGCTTATAATGCTTGTGAATTAAGGCTATATCGAGGCAATTCACACAGTATGCACATAAACTAATTAGAGACTGACCAGCTACAGTCCTAAACATCAATGGGAAGATTCAAACAAACAGTACTAAGTGAATTTACGTTCGTACAATGCCTAGAACATTTAAAACTATTAAAGAAAATTCTATTTGTTATCTTGATGTAAAAATGGCAATGTTTAATGTGTAGATTGATCGTGATTCCATCCATAAACTTTACAAAGCACATCAATTAATTGCTATTCGGTTCGGTAGAGACTATCCCTGGTGAAATAAAGGTAGATCTAAGAAGCTCAAAAAGAGTCAAAAACATTCCATCTAATCATCTTTTGAAAGAACCATCCAGAATCTTGATGTGTAGCTTCCTTATAAGACAATTGATAAAAACCACTACATGTGGATTGAATGACCGCAATGATGATTTCATTTTTACTTAAAACTATAAATAACTAATAGTTTTGTACCATAATTGACATTATTTGGAATAAGATTCCTTCCTATCATGTGACTTGCAACTTGGTGTCTTCAAACGTTCGACTGCTTAAGTAGTATGCGGTATAGGAAGAAAAATATAAGTTCTAGATATAACAAGTCCAATTTGTTTGGTTTGGAGTAAACGTTTAAAAAAAATCGTTTTGTGTTAAGTCGGCTTACAGTAAACTCTATCAGAGCCTCCAGAGGCTGATAAAGAGCCCAACCAATCAGCGATTAGTTAGAAGCTATGCTACTAAAATAATGAGGTCCTGATTGGCTGCTAAACATACTGCTACTATGGAATCTCAAGGTCTTTTAATTACTATAAAACCCCTGTTTTTCTGTACATAAATGAACCTTGTAGTAAAGTGATTATCTGATACTCGTGTCTTCTCTCTGGTCTTTCAAGTCGCTGAATAGTGCTAGCCTGGGGTTATCCGAATAGCTAGGATCCGAATAAAGCGTTCAACCTACAAGACATAACATTTTGATTCATGAATAAGTGGATGAGATACATGACATGATAAATTGACAATTTGTGACAAATCTTAAACACTAAATTTTTTTCAAAATATGGATTTAGCGACATTCGGTGTAACTATAATTATAGAAGGGGTTTTGTGGAGATTTAGTATTTATTATAGTGGATCAGTTGAAGTTAGACATTAACACCGTTGGATGCCAGCTCAGTGGTCTATCGGTTAGGGGCTTCGGGTCAAGGCCGGTAGGTCCTGGGTTCGAATCTCGCGAGAGCGGGTTCGTGGATGCGCACTGCTGAGGAGTCCGATAATAGGACGAAACGGCCGTCTAGTGTTTTCAGGTTTTCCGTGGTGATCTAGCTTCAATTGACTCACGCTTTCAACTGTAACTATAATTTATGGACGACCTTTGAGTGACATCCTAGTGACCTTGGGAATGTTCACCTACTTACTAGGGCTAAATGGCGGTTATAAAGCAATATAAAGAACAAGCATGATGATTTACAGTTGATGGTATGGATTAAGAATTAGATCTGTAGTTTTCATCATAAACTGAAATCAACTAAAATGTTGAAATATTATTTAGACAAATAAGTGATTGAATTTCGCTTCAATATTCAAGATGTATTCATCTTAAATCTGATTAGTTTGTTCATAAATTCTAGTCTTGCCAATGATTCTCCTTCTAAAATTATCTTTTTAACTTTATATAATTAAAAATCATGAGTCGAATGAAGCTAAACCACCATGGAAAGCCTGTAAAAAATTATTAAAAAAAAAACACTGTGTTCAAATCTCGTGAGGTGGGATCGTGGATGTGTACTGTCAATGAAGAGTCTCACAATTGGATGAAATGGTCATCTAATACTTCCAATTTTTCCATGATAGTCTAGATTCAATGGATTCATGATTTCAACTATATAAAATTATTCAAATTTTCATTCATTTATATTCTTTAAATTTCTTAAAAGATCTTCAATGTATATTGCAAGAGAAGAACTATTAATGGAATTATATAATTCAATTATAAAACATACAATAAATTGTCAAGAGAATAATGGAACTAATCGAAATTATTTTAGTTTTATTCAAATTAAAGGAGAATCTGGTAGTGGTAAATCGGTTCTATTAGCAAGTTTAGCTAAACGATTATTAACAGAATCAATGAAAGTTAATACATCTATAGTAAAGTAAGTTATTCATTTGAGAATGTGTTGGTACATATATGAGATAATGAAGAAGATATGTAGATTAGTTGAATGATTTTGATGAAGTTTTGTTCTCTTAGCTGGATAGTTTTGTTGTGGAGCTGTAGTGCCGCGATTCGTCAATCGTTCATTTCGATAACCGTTATAATTTTAATTTTAACGGCGCGTAAAATCAGAAGACAAAGGATAGCATCAACTACAGTTTATTGTCGAATAATTCAGGTCAGAAAGTTAACAACACCTTAGCGAATAATAACGAACGAGTGAACAGGCGAATAAGCGAATGAAGCGAACGAGGCGGAAATGACATGCATGGGAGATGGCTGGGAAACCAACTCGTTTTGAGCAAGCGTTAATCAACATTTATAGTTGGACAAAAATGAGTGACAGACATACGATGAATAAGATACGAAGTGTACACATATATGCTCATATAAAAGTATAGTCAAGGTTAATAAGCAAATGATTAACAAGATCAAAATATGACTCATAATGGATAGGCGAATTGGCTTGGCTAGTAACTAGAATAAAGTATATGGGCTTAACATATAAACTGATACTACAAGCTTAATATATGGTCGAATTTATCAGTATATATATATATTAAAAAGAGTATTCAAATAGAATCCCAGTTGCCTTGCTCCAATTCGCTTTTTTGTAGTAGTATGTATATTTTTGAATCTTTTGAGATCATGAAGCAATCTAAACTGTAAACCTGGAAATATTGGACGGTAGTTTTGTTCAAGCATTGGACTGATGTGTAAAACACGTTCACGATCCCTAATTCGAGGATCTATCCAAAAGTCCTATTGAGAAGCTGTGACCGGTGGAGTTCAACCTGATCTGGTGTAAAACATTCACCGACGATAATGTAAGATGATAAAGCAATATCTTGCATTAATCTATGGTAATCTTATTCACTATTAGATGTCGGCTTAGTGATTAAGTGTTCATGGTCAAAACTGAAGGCTTTGGATTCGATTCTCTAAAGAGCCTCATATTAAAACGGAATAGGCGTCTAGTGCTTACAGGTTTTCAACGGCTGTCTAACCTTGATCAGTCAGTGATTTACAGTAGAATCATAAAAGGAAATAATACATATATCGTGTTAACTTTTGTAAAGTCTCATCAACCCAAAGGTGTAATGGTCATCTGAATTTCTGACTCCATTATTTTTCTCAGTAGATAATATATCAAAAATACTCTCGCTTTTTGTATTAATTGTTATAACTTGTATCGTTGCATCCCTATTAGTATATAATATGACGATATTGACAATTGGAGAAGGATGAGTTATCGACCCGACCAATGACAAATAAAACACGTACGAGCAGTCTACAATCCTTATCAGTCTTTATTCTTACCTAGTCTTGCCTGTTTAGTCCACAACACCAATCTCAGCCTCCGCAATAGGAATCATGTATTTCAAACATATTGGATTTATATACAAACCAAACAGACCACATCATACTACAAAATAGTAAACAACATTTATACAAGATTTATTCAGATGTGGCTGTAAATATGAGAGACTGTAATTAACCGACTAGGCATAGCTCAAGAATAGTAAATCATATCATAATAGTCTATGGGTAAATAAAGGTTGTAGTAATAGGAGTATACATAGACATAATCTAGCTACCGAATAGTTACACATTAAGACTATACATATAATATTTGTTCATAAATAGTTCTCAAAAGTTGTCATACATAATTCTCCTCGGGATATAACATTAATTATTATTATTATTATTCCAGATATGATTTCAAATTTATACTAACATTGACACCGTAGTCGTAAATTATCAAATACCCTGAAGTATACAATTGTGTTCCTGATTTTAACCAAGTTTTAATGAAAGATTGATACTATTCAATGATTTTCATAGTTGAAAGTATAATTCAATTAAAGCTAGAACACCATGGGAAACCTGGAAACACTGGATAGCCGTTTCGTCCTAATGTGGGATTCTTCAGCAGTGCACATCTACGATCTCGCTCGGCGAGATTCGAACCCAGGACTTACCAGTTTCGAGCCAGAACACTTAACCACTAGACCACTAAGCCGATATCCCATTATAGGACAAAATGGTCGTCCAATGCTTCCAGGTTTTCCATGGTAGTTCAGCTTCAGTTGAATATGGCTTTCAATTATGAAAATACTGAAATCTCCACAAAACTCTTTCTGACTATTCAATGAGTTTACATTTCATTTAGTTACATGTTTAATTATGTGTTGTTGCTGTTGTTTTCCTTCTTTTAATATTTCAGTCCACGTGTAATCTATAGAATGATTGGATCTTCTACAATGTCATTAAATTTACTCAATTTATTAAGTTATCTATGTATTGAACTATCAACACGAATGAATAATTCAAGTATACCTGATGTATGTTTTATAAAATAGGAAATGATTTTTAATGTATAAATTGATAGTACCCTTTCATTTTTATGTATATAATGTATTATTATCATTGTCTTAATTTGACAATATTAAGATTTCAACATTTGAATAACACTTTCAAATCAAAATCCCCATGATATTGTTGGGGTAGTCCAGAAAACTTCTCACAAAAGATAAGAAAGATTCAGGAAACATTTTATCCAATCAGCATTCACTAGAAGTTTTGCCAGAAACATCACAAAAGTGTAAAGTTACATATACATACATACATACAAATACTGCACCAGTAAACAAAGTATATCACTTTCTATAGGTGTTGGAAAAGTGTGCGTTATACTGTGTTTTGTAAGTACTGGAACTATTGAGATGATCCAGAAAGTTTCTCGCAATAGACATGACAAGCTTAGGAAATATTAAGAAGTATTTTATCCAATCAGAGTTCACGAGACGTTTTGTCAGAAACATCACAGAAGTGAAAATTCACATGTACAGTTCCTGATTGGCTGATTACTATACTGCCATTATGTTTAGTAGCATTCCAGAGTTTTCAGGAAAACCTAATGACTTCTAAAAACCCTATATTGTCTGTACATAAATGAACCTTTTGGAGTACAGTGCTTCTCGCATAGTTTACGCCTTTTCTCTCGCGTTCAAATTACTATGTAGATTTAGCTTGAAGGTTACGAGACTAGCTTAGAAACCGAGTATAGCGTTTAATTAACAAAATTTATCAGAAATAATCTAATTTTTAAAATTATAAGGAAGATTTGTAGCATAGATGGATGATTTAAGGCAGAGTTCTATTCGATAATCTCGATGGTTTGGTCGACTAAATCATTAAATCAATCGAGAAAAAAGAAAGCAATTTTATCATAAAGAGATTTAAAAAGAAATCTGATTTGTCATTACTACTACACTTTACTTTCAGACTTATGATGGACTACGTACAGCTTTGCATACAGCTATCATTGAAGCTACATATGAACAGTCATCCCAGCAACCATTAATAATTATTCTGGATGGAATTGAAAACATAGAAGGTATAAAAAAATTAACATTATGGTTTATGTAATATTGTTTGTTATATTCTTGAATTTAGTATGATGAATAGATTTGATTATTAAGTTTTGGTTTATTTGTCACATCGGTATTAAAAATTCTAGATCCTTTAACATTCTTATATCAAATTTGTAGTTGTCACAGTTGAATTCATAAGTCGGTCTAAGTTTGACTATCATTAAAAACCTGGAAGGCCGTTTCATCCTAGTTATGGGACTCCTCAACAGTGCGCGTCCACGATTTCGCAAGCAGAGCTCGAACCCAGAACTTTCCGTATTACACACGAAAGCTTAATCTCTAGACCCCTGAGTTGCTATCCAATGGTGTTAATGTCTAACTTCCATCGATCCATGATCTTGCGCAAACCATTCTAAGACGAAACGGCCTTCCAGTTCCTTCACGTTTTGAATGGTGATGTAGCTAAGATCGACTAATGAATGCAACCGTGTAGAATTCTTTCAGTTAAATAATTTAAGTGAGGAGTTTTCATCGTCATTCTGTACAATATCTTTAAAGCCTACTCCCTTTAAAAGTGAGCTTTTAGACAAACTGGTTAATCATTGTTTCTATGACAACATTTTCTTCTAAAGTCTACGACTTTCGTACAGAATAAGTGGTGAAAGAAAAATAGTTTTTTTTAATTTAACCCAGCAAGGCTGTCTTTCGATCCGATATAATATGAGGAAATGAACCAAAGTATCCTATTTGAATTGTATGCTACTCAGTATCCACATACATGATAACAAACATTCTACATGGGAACTGGGTGTAAAATACTATACATATATAGATACTAGTTTATTTCAGATCTTTTGGTTCTGATCTCTTCTTCGATTAAATTTACTTTTTTGATTAATCTTGCTAGTTTTGTTCTACATGACCCTATATTCTAACAGTTGTCATATTGCGTGACCGAATTCCTGATTATTCCTATTTCATTTCATTGATTAGATCTATGAAAAAGGGATAGAAACTTCATTTCCTGATTGTTAAAAATGTTAATTATGACTGACAACTAGTTGTATAATTCTTGGATTATTTTTGCGTAAATACTATTTTATAATTTGAATGTTCACCTTTGCAGTAAATTAAGTTCACTTGGTCTCTATTTTGGATAGAATCTTGTCATTTTTGCTTTGTAAGAATATTGTTTTCTACTTAACAGTTGATATCCTACAGTTTGATTACACATGGTGTCTATACTCGTTATTGTCTATACCTATTAGAAGAAGCATTGTTCACATAAATTTTGTTTATTTTGTATTTAAATTTGCTTTGACAATGAGATTTTGAACTTTTTTTATTCGTTTCACTCTGCTTCTTTACGCTGTTATAGTTTATTATACATTATTATAAGTAGTGATTCCCAATATCTTATTTTGATAGAATTGAACTAAGAAGCTCTTGATTGAAGAATCGAACGGTGCAGAACTACTAGACTTATAAGGAATCTAAATCAAATATTGATGATTTCACAATTTCCTATAAAGCGGTAATCAAGATCGTTGATAAAATTATGCACTTATGGCAGAGAGATGAGTTTGTTAACCATTAAGATAACTCTCCATTATCTCAAGTATTTCAGATAAATTAAATAACTCTTCTGATAACTAACTATTTGTATTAAAAGTACAATTTTAAAAATTCATCAAATGATCATCTCTCTAAACTGATAAATAATATTAGATCAATTAGTAAGTATATATATAATGTCAAACTTTATTGATAAGAGTTAGATAATCACTGAAAACCACAAAGAACTGGATAGTCGCTTCACTCTGTTATGGGATTATTTAACAAAGAATATACTAGGAGTGGAATTCAAGATGACTTGATCTTTCAGTCAACATATAACTTGTAAACCACAAAGTCATAATCCAATAGTTTGTATTTTTCATCCTAATCATTTTGTGATACTGTAGAATAATTTTTCAATGCTATTAGTAGATAGTTTCCTCATATATGACATATTTGAAGTACACTAGTTATGGTTTTGCATCATACCTCCAGGGATCATTTCTTCAAGTTATACATGAATTCACTAAAATAAACCATAGGATATTGAGATATTATTTCAAAAACTAAATATTTACAGCGCAATCTGACGATTCTGGCTTCAATCACTGGTTGACTTGTGTATGTGAACAGTTGAAGAGCCTTATACTAGGACAAAACAGTTATCCACTATTTGCTAGTTTTTAATCATTGTTTACCTGCGACTAGTTCATGATAAAAACACAGCAACTAGAACACAACAACTAGAAAACGGATATCAAATTGTGATAAAGCCACAGTATTTGTAATATTTATTTAATTAACATAATGAAAAAATTGATCATAGAGAATTTCTAATGCATAATTTTATTGTTGTCACTGACATTCACTATTGAACGTAAACGACAGAATTCATTGTTCTAATTCAAGCTGTGTTAGTTTAAATGGAATATTTTTCATAGTTGAAATCATGAGTCCATTGTAACTAGACCACCATGGAAAACCTGGAAGCACTGAACGGTCGTTTCATCCAATTATGGGGCACCTCAGTGGCAGTGCGCATCCACGATCCCACCTCGCGAGATTCCAACCCAAGAATGAAGTTGTTATATTTTAAATCTTCTTAAATAATCCATTTTATAAGAAGAAATATGTACAAAGAGAATTTATAAATTTCTTCAATACTAATTATTACACACAACTTTGTTCCTTGATGTTTCTCTATTTATTTCTTTTTTCATTCAGAATGTAAACAACGTAAAGAGAATTTTCCAATTTCATGGATTCCATTCAGTTGGATAAAATATAAACCAATTTTAAATTGTCCAGTAATTTTTATTATATCAACTATAAATAATCCAGATGAAATAGCGTATTTTAATAAAAATTTTCAAAATAATATTGACCACTTCATTTTTAGTGATAAAAATCATACTACTGATAAACAAATAAGTAGCACAAATACTTATCGTCACATTTTGTTAAACGAATTAGATTTTAATGATATGAATAAATGTATTAAAGTATGGTTATCCCAAATTCAATTCATAAATCATTATGATACAGTATTATCAATGATTAAAACAATGAATAAATCATTACAACCATTACAATTAAAAATCATTATTCAATTATATAGATACGAAAAGCACAATTTAAAGACTATTATCAATGATATAAAAGATTATAATAATTATGATCTATATAATGTTTTAATAAAATATACCGAAAAATTTTATGGTATCAAACGTGTTCAATTTATCATTGGTAATTTATTTTTATCAAGATTAGGTTTAACTAATGAAGATTTAATCAATTTATTTTGGTTAAAATTACCAATGAATCATTGTACTTCGTCGACGTCTTCTACGACGACTTCCCATCATTTAAATAAACAAAATATAATTATTAAACAAAAAAGATTTTCATTACAAGATATTCATTATAATATATTAATTAATGATAAAATCGATCGTGTATTGATTACTTATAATTGGTTATATCGATTTTTTAATGAATTTTTATTATCATTAAATATGATTATTAGAACTAGATCACCTCCATATGGTTGTTATATATTATATAATATGAATCAACAATTATTACGATATTGGATAGAGCATTATTATATAAATAATCATCAAATTCAATTAGAATATCATACTTTACAATTAAATGTATTTTATAATCAGCATAAATATACTACTACTACCAATACTACTGATACTACTACCACTGCTACTACTACTACTACTAGTAGTAGTAGTAGTAGTAGTAATGAATTACATATCCATTGGAGATGGTTATCTGAAGTCCCATATCATTTAAGTAAATTAAATAATATAAAAAAATTAAAAAAAATTTGCTTTTTTAATTTTATTTGGTTAAATTATAAATTACAATTATTATTATTTACTGATAATTATTCATTAATCATACAAAATTGTTTAGATGAATTTGTGTCGTGTTTATTATATAATCAACATCCAATATCCAATAAAATCAATAATAAAATCAATAATGATCAATTAATCAATGATTTATTGATTGAAAAATTATTTCATTATTTATATGAATATCCAGATATTCATTTAATATTAAGTATATTAATACAATATAGATATGAATTAAATTATAATCCATATTTATTAAATAATATAATTATTCATACATTAAAAGAATATCATCATCATTATCAGTATATTGAACCATTGAATGAACAAACTACTGATGAATTAAATAAAAGTAGTATGATTGAGACATCGATAAAATCTCTTATTTATAATATAGAACAATATAATATAAAGAATAATATTCAAATACCTTCTTTAATTAATTTTAATATACCAACATATTTATGTACATATGAACAAATTATCAATAATTTGACGTATAATTCTAATAGTATGACATCATTATCATCATCGACGTCATCGTCGTCGTCGTCGTCATCTTCCTCAGCATCAACGATTGCATTAACATGTTCACGTAAAACAATACAAATCAATGCTATAGCTTATTCTAATACAAAACAATATTTAGCTATATCAACATATGATTTAATTCATTATATAACTATATTAGAAATATGGAATATTAATTATAATTATAAATTAATAAATTATATAATAAATAATAATACAATACAAATTATAAATGAATTAATATGGATTGGTATAAATGATAATGCATTATTAGGTATTGAAATACCAAGTCAAAATATCTATATATGGCCATTAAAATTAAATGAATCTCCTAATAATGATGATGGTAATCATAATGATGATCAACCATACTACTTATTAACCGAGGAACAATCTAATATAGAATTATATAGGATTAAAGAGAATTCTACTATAAATGTAGTTGATATGGATAATACTATTACTAATAATAGTAATATAAGTTATATTATACAATTACAACAAGGTATATATAAATTATCAATATGGTTATGGAAAGATAATAAATTGAAACATTTAATTGGACCATTAAATTTAATTGATAAACCACAACACATCAAAGATCCACAATTTTTGAATGATCCAAAACAAAAGTCATTACGTTCAATTAGTTTACCAAATACAATGATGAAATCAAATACTGAATTACTTATAAGTAGTTATATATATAATAATAAACTTTATATTATAACTGGTTATAAAGGTGATTCAAAAGCGATTATGTTTCATATAAATATATTATTTAATAATTATTATTATTTAGATGATAAACAATCAATTCAACAAATATATTTATTATGTCCAAATCAAGGTACACGTATATTAGGTATTTATAGTCAATTAACTCAATCAATAATTATTATACCTAATCGATCACCATCAATAATTACATTAAATAATAATAAAATTATTGATTGTATTGATTTATTTAATAAACAATCAGGTAATTTTATAAAACATATTGAATCAATAAATAATAATACTTTTTCATATATGGAACCATATTTAAATAATTTTAATATTTTTACAACATTTAAATCATTACCTAAATTATTTATGTATTATGATATAAATAATGAACAATTTATAACAATAATACAAAATTATACTACTAATAATTATAATGAAGATATAAGTAATATTGAATTAATAACAATATGGGATCTCAATAAATCAATAACTAATAAAATCAATATGAAACAATTATTATCATATATCATTCATGATCATTATACAATGATTATACCATTAAAAATATCAATAAAAAATATCAATCAAATAAGTATGATAAAACCTATTTTAGAAGAAAATAATTATCGTATATATAATTGTAATTTATTAAATATAATAAAAAATAAAGAAAAAATCAATAATCAATTATTAATCAATAATAATCAAAAACAACAATTAATTAATAATCAATATAAAATGATTAGTTCAATTTATATAATCCATGATCATAATAATAATGATTATATTAGTTATATTAATTATGATCCTATTAATAATAATATATTAATAGGGATAATGTATTTAATCAATAATAATTGGTTAATTAAATATTTAATTGTTAAACCATATAATGATAATAATAATAATAATAATAATAATAATAATAATAATAATTGGAATATTAATAAAGATCAATTTATATTTAATGGGAAGATATTAATTACATTAGAAAAATTAGAATATTCTATTATTGTTGAAGAATGCAAGTAAGTTTAGGAAATGGATTGTTTGAATAGTTGAGATCATGAGTTGATTTAAGATAGATTAATATGGAAAAAAAAAGGAAGCACAAGATTCGAACCCAGGATCTATCAGTCTCGTGAGCGAGTTCAATCAGGTCTGTTGTAAGATAGTAACTCACTGAAGACTTTGATGGGTGTGTAGCTCAATTTCATGGATTCGTTGAAATTAGACATTAATATCGTTGGATACCGGCCAACTCAGTGGTTCTAGAGGTTAATAATTTCAATAGTTGAGATCATGAGTCAATTTAAGGTAGACCATAATGGAAAACATGGAAGCACTGGACGGCTGTTTCGTCATGTTGCGGACTCTTTAGCGCTGCGCATCCATGATCCCGCCTTGTGAGACTCAAACCCAGGACCTTGTAGCTGTAAATAAATCCCCAAAATGAATAGCTCCGTAAGTGTTTGACATTGGATGCTGACCCCATTAGTTTTAGTGAATTCATTTACTTGAAGGCACACGGTCATGCATCTGCACCAGATCACGTTTTAGAACGGCGTACGCAACATCTCCTACGATCATTAGCCAGATTAAATCAGTCACTTTTCGACATATTGATAACCCATCAAATATATCTTACAACCTCCTCACTTCTGACTTTTGGTTTAACTGGGTGGGCGCGATTCCATTATAAAAGGTATTACCGGTAAAAAGTTGTCAAACTACAATATTGATGATACTTTCAACCTATCAGTTTCGCGCAACAGCGCTTAACCTCTAGAACCACTGAGCTGACCGGCATCCAACGGTGTTAATGTGTAACTTCAACCGATCCAAGAAATTGAGCGACACATCAACTATTGTATTCAGTGAATTACTATCTCACAACAGACCTGGTTGAACTCCACTGGTCACTTCAACTGACTCATGATCTCAACTATTACTATAATATCCACAAAACCCCTTCTGCTATTATTTTTGTTTTGTTTTTTTGTTTATTTTTGTGTTTTTTTAGATAATTAAAAAATTAATCATCACCATAGTGAGGCAAGATCGTAGATGGGCACTGTTGAAGAGTCCCACAATAGGAAAAAAACATGTGCAGTGCTCACAGGTTTCCCATGGTGGTCATGATCTCAACTCTAAAATTCTTTTAGTTGTCATGAAATGAATTGACTTATTTAAAACTCGAGACAGATATTGTAGTGTCGGTTACTATGTTATGCTCATATAATGTTTAACTCAAATTCCAAATGTAATGATTCAAATCTGTCATCATCATATCGAGACAGGATACTTGATATTAGGTTACGTGTGAGGATGATTACGCTCCGATAACATTCAGTTCAGATACTTAGAGTTGTCACAATTGATTGATCACTGGGTGGTGATCAATCTCATGCATGTCAGGTCCTTCTTAGTGCTGATCGAATGCTATCGATTGAGTTGCAATGCGGCCACCAGTCTAGGTGGCTCGACACCGCTTCCACTATATATACTGAGGTAAGATGGTGGTTGGAGGTGGTCAACAGGAAACCCTGAGCCCGGATTTCGTGCTACTTGGCACTCGTCAGCAAGGTGTACCTGTAATCCTGAGGGAACTGATGCTCCCTGGCGGATTCGATCCCGCATCACTCGGCTTCACAGTCAGAGACGTTACCACTGAGCTATTCGGGTCGCGACCAACCTCCTGTAGGACTAAGATGTAATCACAATTGATTGATCACCCAGTGATCAGTGGTAACGTCTCTGACTGTGAAGCCGAGTGATGCGGGATCGAATCCGCCAGGGAGCATCAGTTCCCTCAGGATTACAGGTACACCTTGCTGACGAGTGCCAAGTAACACGAAACCCGGGTCCAGGGTTTCCCGCTGACCACCTCCAACCACCATCTTACCTCAGTACTTAGAATTGTGCATACGCTTGCTCGACTAGCTAAATAAAAAAAGAAATTGATAGAGGATTTATAAGCACTGATTGACAAACCGAATTAACGGATATGTAAATCAACAGTTTATATGCTTTTCTCATTCTGACCGAGACAACAATAAGTTGGTTGAGATTTCGATTAAGATCACAATCCGATTCCTATAATGGAGTGTCACGTTCATAATTTCTCATCTACAGTGATTTAAGAGACATGATATCAGTCTACCAATATTGTATGTTGTCATTATAAAAAAGACTTAACCTTGTACAAAACTTTAGTTCACTATGTTCCCTGACTACCAATGGTTTTCAAATTTATATTACATACTGTCTAAATTCTTTCGATTTAAAAGAACGAAAATAAGTATTTCATTTAATAGTAGTATATGAATTTACTTCTAAATTCAAAAAAATAGAATGAATGTGTTACATGTAGACTCCCAGAGTTTCGTATCAGTTACCATTTGCTGGTAAACTAATATTTACAACCTTGGGAGAACTGGTGTTTTGCCACAGACTTTCGAACGTCACTTGTTTTAGACCTGAATCGTAATTGTATTTTAGAGTTGTTTTCTTTATGTTTTATATCGAACATATTAATTTTATAAGCTAAGATGGATAATGGCTAGCAGTGAAATCCGTGACGCGCGTCTTGTCAGCTGGATCTACTTACATCCCGGAGACAATGTTCACTGTGGGACTCAATTACAGTCTTAAAGATCAATGAGATGATTCAAACAAACTGTACAAAATAAATGTTCCCTTTAATTGACAGAATTTATAAGGATACTAGAATACACAATCTTTTTCTGAAAATATCTCTGCTTACAATTTCAACATTTACTGGCCGGATTCTATCATTAACAGCCTTCTGCGGAAGAGTACAAACCAGCTTCCTGCTGAAGAGGAAATTACAAAAAGACGTTGGAAGTGGATAGGACATACATTGAGAAAATCACCAAACTGCATCAAGAGGCAATCCCTAATTTGGAATCCGGAATTGAAGCAGAAGAGAGGAAGGCCAAAGAACACATTACATCAGGAAATAGAAGCAGATATGAAAAATGAATGTTAACTGGAATGAACTGGAAAGGATCGCCCAGGACAGGGTTGAATGAGGAATGCTGGTGTGCGGCGTGTTTTTATTTATTTTATTTATTTAGACACATAAGTATTGGTACAAAGAGGCACCAGCTATATATGCGCCACACAAATCTCATTTGATTTGTGTGAGGGCTGTGATACAGCTTGGGTTCCCAAACCGAAACAGGTAGTTTTCTTAAAAAGCCACACCCCGATCCTTTGACCTATAGGTCTGATCCACAAGACAGTGGAGCATCGTGAAGAGATGCAGCCCATTGGTAATCGGTGACCAACGATTGGTTCATACGCCATTTTGTTTCCTCAAGATACTGAAGCCTATGTGCACTATTGGTTTGAAATTAGGGTTTTCCAACTCCCCTAGTTGAAATTTCCATGCCCACCAACCTGGTGAAAAAGGTCAGACATTCGCTCCTCGTCCTCTCAATTTTGTAAACAGCATCCCCGCCACGAGAAGGCAGTGTGTAGGACTTCCCTCACAGAGACTCTATATATGTGGCCATGTGAGAGCATTTCGAGAGGGAGAGTGAACTCTCCCCACTCTCAGCCGTACCAGGGCATTTGGGGGCCTATGCTCCTTCACGACGTAGTGTAACAGGCGTAAATTAGTAAGTAGCTAAGCTAACAATTTAATTTTTCTGATACATAATTCTATATTTAAAAATTTTGTTTTTTGTTTACTTCATTTATCTAGGGAAGTTTATCAAAGAATGGGTATCTATGAAATAGATTATAATCCCACTAATGAATTTCATCTTAATCATATAAGACATTTAACTGATGTCTTTATTATACCAAATCATATAACTGAATATAAAATAATTTATTCAAATGATCCAGATACTACTTCATATTTACTTGGTTTAAATGAAACTAGATCTCATTTTGTAGCCTATAATTTATTAAATGGACAAGTAATATGGAGATTAAAACCAGATTTTTCAATATATCCTGAATATAAAGAGAATTCTTTATTGAATATAAAGTACGATCCAAGTATTCAACAGAAATCCAACTCTTATTTAAAGAATAATACCATTGAAAAGTTTTTAATTAGTGGTAATCAAAGTATCTTAATAGTTAGTTATAGTATGGAATGTGTTTGTGTATTTCTTATGAATAAATTAAAACATGTTGGTTATTTAGATGAAAATTATGCAATGATGAATAATTATCCTTTAAGAAATACACATGAACAAAAACAACAGGAACAAGAACAACAACCGGAACGTCTTAGACGATTTAATCCACCAAATTTATCAATTTCAGCAATATCCTATGATGGTTATTGGTTAGTTCATACAGAATATAGTCATGAAGAACAATGTACATGTTTAACAATATGGTCATTAATTCCTTTTCATATTAATAATCAATTAATTAAAAAAGAATATAATATATCATGGATTCGTAAACGTTTATTAAATCAATCTAATTTAATTCAATTAATTATAAGTAATTATAATTGTATTATTATTGGTGCAAGAATTAATTATGGTCTTATATGTTGGTGTCCATGTAAACAATTAAAATCAATTTATTTACAAGGTAGTCAATATTTAAAATTTTCATTAAATAATCCCCCTTTATTAAATATATCAAATTATGGTAATCAAATTATATCTATTAGTGGTTATATAAAACGTACACAAATAACAATATGGCAATTAAATAATAATAATGATTTAACTATATGCCTTATAAGTAATCTATGTTATATTGATAATATAATTGAATTACAATTAATTAATGAAAAATTATTATTATGTATAACAGTTATGAATTTAAATAAACCATTATTAATTGATTCAAATTGGAATAATAATAATAATGATTCTTAAAATAATCAATAATTCAAAGAACTTATTCAATGGAACATTTTGTTGTTATGTGATTGTTCTTCTTTTATTTTGTTTTTAATTTTGATGATAGAAAAGATATAAAAAATTGATTTATAACATTATTATTGTTATTATTATTATTATTATTATTATCAGAAGGGGTTTTCTGTGGATATTATAATAATTTTAATAATAGAGATCATGAATTAATTGAAGGTAGATTATCATGAAAAATCTGGAAGCACTGGACGACTGTTTCATCCTAATATGGGACTTCTCAGCAATGCGCGAGCGCTTAACCTTTAAACTACTGTGAATGATACGTCCTGGGTTCGAATCTCGTGAGGCGGGATCGTGGATGCATACTGCCAAGAAGGAGTCCCATTATAGAACAAAACAGTCATCCAGTGCTTTCAAGTTTTCCATGGTAGTCTAGCTTCCATTGATTCATGATCTCAATTATTATTATTATTATTATTATTATTATTATTATTATTATTATTATTAAAGGTTTTATATAAACACTGATTATTTCATTTCAAGTTCTGTTGAATAATAGAGCAAAAATAGTAACTGTTTTTATGTTGTATTGTGAGGTTCTTTAGGACAGCATAGAAATCATCTCTCCAGTGATTGGATTTAGAACCTTCAAGTTGTAGAGCGAGTGTTTTATGTTTAAACTACTGAACTGGAATCTAGTAGTTCAATTTTCAAATATTTAGCAGTATTCATCTATTCGCTGCGGTGAATAACTGTTTCATGTTTTCTGCATGGTAGCTCAATGGTCTAGAGGTCAAGTGTTCATAAGCGAGGTTGAAGGTCTTATGTTTGACCCCGTATGGGGTCGCAGATTCATCCTACTGAGGAGTCCCAAAAACAGGGTAGAGCAGCCGCCAATTGCTTCCGCGTGTTCAGTGGTGGTCTACCCAAGATGGGTCTGTGATTTAAGCTATGAACACATCCAAAATTATTAAAAAATCTTTATGCTAACTGTTGTAGTGAGAAAACACAATTGAATTTAAAATATTTCACTAAGCCTCCATTTCCATAAAATCAAAATCGAATAGAAACCACAGAGAATAAGCTATTTGTTACAAAGATTATTGATGCATCAGAACTGTTAAATTATTTGCGAAAATTCTTAATTGTCGATTCTATATTTGAATGTCAGACCTGGAGTTAGATTAAGACATATACTGAAGTAATGAGAATGCCATTCAATTCTCAACGAATCCATGGAATCTATACGCACTGGAGAATATATTTTGGAGCTAAGTTGAGTGAAGTTTATTTCTCGAAGATCTTAGAAACCATTTTATAAAGATGTCTGTTTTTATATCCCCTTAGTATTTAGTGGTTATGTACGACATCTTCTTTCGTGCTGTTGTTGTTCTTCTTTTTTGATCTTTTAATTTCAAGTTATTTTCAACGAATCTGGATGGAAACTCATTTTTCATGTGCTTTTCTTATTTTAACTAATCCCTTGTCAACTCTGTACTATATACAGACTCATCTAACAATCGAGAATAAATAATGCCGATTTTATCTTCCTGTTCAGTGGAATTTTGTATATTGTCAATTCAAATTTGTCCTTTTAAAAGTCAGTCTTTTTGAAGATCATTCAGTACCGTTCGCTTCAAACACTATCACGTTATCCACTTAGCTACTGAGTCCTGATAGCCACTTGGTTGTGCAATGGGGTGAAGTTTGAATTAAATTGGTATTGCTTGCTTGAATCTCCCAGGATCGAGGTAATACGCTCAGTACGCATATATGCCAATAAGATATTGATCAATTGGAGTCCTCAATGGGAAGATTCGAGTAAACAATATCGAATACATTCAATAATTATCATGGTTTAAAAATGAAAGAAATTAATATATACTACTTTGTTAGTAGTCTAAAAAAGAGACAAAAATTAAATAAAGCAAATGGTAAGTTAATAATAATAACTTTGACATAACTTTTTTTTAAAAACAATCATATATGAAAATCATCATTATACATGGAGCCAGATTATTAAACCCGAACGACCCAGTCTTAGGCTCTACTGAGGTCATGGATGAACGTTTGCAAGGAGTCATCTAACTAAGTTGAAGGATTTGTTCAGTCTTAAGTGACAGCTTAACTGACCTCAATCCATGATATAAAAATACAAACAATCAGTCAATAATCTCCAAAATCCTCTTTATTAAAATTATTTAAATAAACCTTGTTTTTTTTGAGTAAAATCCTTCTGTAAAAAACTTTGGAAATATTTCATAGTCATGATATTTAGAACTAAGATTTGAGAAAATGAAAATCTAATTGACTTACTTACTTACTTACGCCTGTTACCCCTCGTCGAGGAGCATAGGCCGCTCACCAGCATTCTCCATCCAACTCTGTCCTGAGCCTTCCTTTCCAGTTCTTTCCAGTTGCTATTCATCCTTTTCATATCGGCTTCTATTTCCCGGCGTAGTGTGTTCTTTGGCCTTCCTCTTTTCCGCTTCCCTTTCGGATTCCAAGTTAGGGATTGAGTCGTGATGCACATTGGTGATTTCCTCAATGTATGTCCGATCCACTTCCAACGTCTTTTCCTAATTTCCTCTTCAGCTGGAAGCTGATTTGTCCTCTCCCATAAAACGCTGTTGCTGATAGTATCCGGCCAGTGGATGTTGAGTATTTTGCGTAGACAACTATTTATAAATACTTGTACCTTCCTGATGATGGCCGTAGTAGTTCTCCACGTTTCAGCTCCATACAGTAGGACTGTCTTGACGTTCGTATTAAAGATTCTGACCTTGAAATTGGTTGAGAGTTGTTTTGAGTTCCATATGTTCGTCAATTGTAGAAATGCTGTCCTTGCTTTGCCAATCCTCGCCTTTACATCTGCATCCGATCCTCCTTGTTTATCAACGATGCTCCCCAGGTACTTGAATGTTTCCACCTCTTCCAGAGTTTCGCCATCAAGTGTGATTGGGTTGGTGTTCTCCGTGTTGCATTTGAGAATCTTGATATTTCCTTTGTGTATGTTGAGGCCTATCGATGCAGAGGCTGTTGCTACATTTGCTGTCTTTATCTGCATTTGGTCGTGTGTATGAGAGAGGAGGGCTTGGTCATCTGCGAAGTCCAAATCATCTAATTGATTCTGAGCTGTCCATTGTATTCCGTATTTCCCTTCAGATGTCGAATTCGTCATAATCCAGTCAGTCACTAGAAGGAAGGGGAATGGGGAGAGCAGACAGCCTTGTCTGACTCCGGTCCTTACTGGAAATGCATCTGTCAGTTGTCCTCCATGCAACACTTTGCACTGTAGTCCATCGTATGAGTTTTGGATAATGTTGACAATCTTTTCAGGAACTCCATAGTGTCGAAGAAGTTTCCATAATGTTCTCCTGTCCACGCTGTCAAACGCCTTCTCATAGTCAATAAAGTTGACGTATAGTGATGAGTTCCACTCAATTTATTGTTCCACGATGATCGGTAGTGTCGCAATCTGGTCTGTGCATGACCGATCCTTATGGAATCCAGCCTGATGATCCCTTAGTTCAGCGTCTACTGCGTCTTTCATCCGATCCAGCAGCACTCTGTTGAAAACTTTTCCTGGTACTGATAACAAACTGATACCTCTGTAGTTCTCACATTTGCTCAGACCTCCTTTCTTTGGTATCTTGATGAGATATCCTTCTTTCCAGTCCGTTGGCACTTGTTCCTCTTCCCAAATCTTTTTGAATAGAAGGTGAAGCATGTTTGCAGTTATTTCAATGTCTGACTTCAGTGCTTCTGCTGGTATATTGTCAGGTCCTGCCGCCTTCCCACTTTTGATTTGTCTGATGGCCATCTTGACTTCTTCGATCGTTGGTGGAGTGACATCTATTGGAAGGTCAGTGTGGGCTGCTTCGATGTTCGGTGGATTCGATGGGGCTGGTCTATTCAGCAGTTCCTCAAAGTATTCTGCCCATCTTTTCCTCTGTTCCTGAATCTCAGTGATTGTCTTTCCTTCTTTATCTTTGACTGGTCTCTCTGGTTTGCTATATCTCCCTGCCAATTTCTTCGTTGTATCATATAGTTGTTTCATATTCCCTTCTCTTGCAGCTTTTTCCGCCGCCGTTGCTAGTTCTCCCATGTATTTCTGCTTGTCGGCTTTAATGCTTTTCTTCACTTCTCTGTTTGCTTCTGCATACTCTGCTTGTGCCTTGACTTTCTCTGCTCGTGTTCGACTGTTGTTAATTGTTAGTTTCTTGTTCTTCCTTTCTTGAATTTTGTCCAAGGTTCCCATAGAGATCCATTCCTTGTGATGGTGCTTCTTGCGACCCAGAACCTCCTAACACGTTGAAGTTAGTGCTTCTTTTATCCCTTTCCAGTTGTCCTCCATCGTAGTTTCTTGTTCTTTCAGTAAATCCTGTAGAGCCTGGAACCTGTTGTTGAGAGTTATCTTGAATTCGTTGAGCTTGTCAGTATCTCGAAGGAAGGCTGTATTGAACCTTTGTAATGCTGTTTGTTCAGTTGTCCAGTCTTTCTTTAGCTTTAGTCTCATCTTGGCCACAACCAGGTGGTGATCTGAAGCTATGTCAGCTCCTCTCCTTCTTCTCACATCTTCCATTGATCTTCGGAATTTTTTGTTGATACAGATGTGATCAATCTGGTTCTCTGTGGTGTGGTCCGGTGAGATCCATCTAGCTTTGTGTATGCGTTTGTGTGGGAATATTGTGCCGCCTATAACCAATTTGTTGAAAGCACATAGATTTGCAAGTCTCTCCCCATTTTCATTTCTCTCTCCTAGTCCATGTCGTCCAATTACATCTTCATATCCTGTGTTGTCCACTCCAACTTTAGCATTTAGATCTCTCATCAGGATGGTGAGGTCCTTTCTTGAGCACTTAGCTATGATTTATTGCGGCCTCAAGTAGAACTGATTTTTATCGTCACCGTTGCTATCATTGGCGGGTGCATAACATTGGATAACATTCATTGTGATCCCTTGCTTCTTTGTTCTGAATGATGCTTTGATTATCCTG